TTGGAAGGTACTGAACAGACTGCGCTCTGGCACCACCAGAGCGAACCTTAAGAAATGGGGTTACAAAGTGGAGTCTATGACATGTGAGTGTGGAGAAGAGCAAACCACAGACCACTTATTACAATGCAACCTGAGCCCTGCCACATGCACAATGGAGGACCTTCTTATAGCAACACCAGAGGCATTCCAAATGGCCAGCTACTGGTCAAAGGATATTTAATGGAGACCTATGGGTTGTTGTAGGGTTTTCGGGCAGTATATCCATGTTCTAGAAGCATTCTCTCCTGACATTTTGCCTGCATCTCTGGCAAGCATCCTCAGAGGTTGTGAGGTCTGTTGGAAACTGGAGACATAAATTTTTGTGGAGTGAAATGTATTAATTATAACTACAACAGCATTCTTTATTAGCAGAGTGACACCACTAGCGAGTTTCAGGATGTGTTTTCTACAAATATGGGTTCTGTCAGACTTTGACCCTTGATGTGTGATGAATGGATTGAATGAATTGTATGTTTGGGGTCTGGTTGGGCCTATAAAGGTCTAGCAAGGCTGGAGACACCATCCAAAAAGTAAAAAAAAAAAAAGGATCCTGAAAATGACCTTATGGAGAAGAAAAGGAGGTGTAGAATTTGTATTGTCGGAGGCTTTCACCTCACTACCTCTGAGGATGCTTGCCATAGATGCAGGCGAAACATCAGGAGAGAATGCCTCTAGAACATGGCCATATAGCCCGAAAAACCTACAACCATCCAGGTGTAGAATTCATTAACTGTGGCATGAAAAGTGCTAATGAGAAAACTGCTGAACTGAGGAGAACTCCGGCTGCAAACAACACATGTTTACATAGTCAAGGACAATAACTCTTCAAGTTAAAGAAGTGAAACAACCTATCTGTTCCGGAATTGATAAGGCTCCAGAAGTTATCTAAACAACCAAATAATCTGGTTGTGTGCCAGATCTGCGAGGAATGCATTTGAACACCTGCCTCCTTCCAAGAAGCCTTATCAACTGAATGAAGAAGGATGGTGAGTATGAATGAGTGAATGTATGGATTATGAGTGAATTTTAGAGTATGTTCTGTGTAATCAATATATAGCTATTTAAAAACCTCTGTGCCTACTTCTTTCTCTGAACATACTTGAGATACTCTGTCCTACTGAAAACAGATTAAAGAACATTTTAAGGTTCAAAAAGTATGACAGATGGACTTTGTGCATCTTTGCCTCACCACACCAAGGAGTGTACGTCGGTCCCTAGAATGGTGGAGCAATCTTGAAAAAGTCAAGGTCTGCATGCACTTTCTTCCTCTGTAACCTGAAATAGAGCTTATAATGTATACTTCCTTGGAAGGCTGGAAAGTCCACAAAGAAGGTATTTCAATACAGAGCAGGTGGCCCAGCAAGGAATCCGTACCCCACATCAACGTCTTAGATGTGACAAAAGCATTCCAAGTAATTGAAACGCTCCTCCAAGGAAGACGGTTCACGTTGTTACCAACAACATATTTCAATGAGCAAGTTAACATGAAATCCTGCACTCTGCTTTACTTTCTTCTACAGCTTTGGGATTGGTGTGTCACTTCTCAAAATGAATGATTGATCTCCCACCATTTGCCTGACTTATGAACTGGCCAAGAAGGACCCTCCAGTTGGTGTTCATGGCCCTCCAACTAAGGTTGTGGCCATATCTTCTACCTTTCTGAGTAGTAACTGATGTACAGTCCAGGGCTGATGGGACCTTTGAAAGTGCAATAATCTTCCCCAGTTTGACATGACATAAGGAGCATGGCTTGAGTATATCCCAGTAATCATGGATTGCTCCCTTCAACCTTCCTAGAATGATCATTCACAGCGAGTACCTACTTTTCATTTTGCGCTAAAAACGACTGAAGTTTTGCATACCAGTTGTTGCCACTGTATACAGAGAAAATTTACACAAAAGTCACATTATGCATCTTACACAATTATTGTCATCTTTATTAAAGTTTATTTATTTATTTATTTATTTATTTATTTACCGCATTTGTATAATGCCTTTCTCAGCCAGAGGCCACTCAAGGCGGTTCACAGTCGGCAGCGATTCGATGCCACAACAAATATCAAAATACAGTTAAAACAATTATAAAAACAATTCAACATTTAAAATGTAATATAAAAAGCAAATATATCTGTAAAATCAAGATCCTCAGCGTCTTCTTACTAAAATCGTTGTACAGTTGCATTGTCAGTCATTCCATATATTCGTTTACATCTAATTATGCTCCAGTAGAAAAAGCTTGCTTGAAGATCCAGGTCTTAATCATTTTGCAGAATGTTTGAAGGGAGGGAGCCGATCTTATATCCCTGGGGAGGGCATTCCATAGCCAAGGGGCCACCACTAAGAAGGCCCTGTCTCTCATCCCCACCAAACGCATCTGCGAGGAAGGCAGGATCGAGAGCAGGAGCTCCCCAGACAATCTTAAACTCCTAGATGGTTCATAAGGAGAGATACATTTGGATAGGTAAGCTGGACCAGAACCTTTTAGGGCTGTATAGGCTAAAGCCAGCACTTTGAATTGTGTGCAGTAGCAGACTGGCAGCCTGTGGAGCTGGTGCAACAGAGGAGTTGTGTGCTCCCTGAGCGCCGCTCCCATTAGCAACCTGGCTGCTGCTTGTTGGACCATTTGGAGTTTCCAGACAGTTTTCAAAGGGAACCCCACGTAGTTCACACTAGGAAAGCACTCCTGGAAGGCCACAAAAGCTAATCTATGGAAGACATCCCCATTTGAGCATGCTCTTTAAAGTCCCACTGAATGGGCTCACTGACAGAGCATGATGTTTAAATGTAGTGTTCAGGTGTCGGTGGTGGCCGGGAGGGCCTTTGCACAGTTAAAACTTGTGCACCACCTGCGACCGTACCTCGAGAAGTTTGACTTGACCATGGTGGTCCATGTTTTAGTTACCTGAAGATTGGACTACTGTAATGCACTCTACATAGGGTTGCCCTTGGAGACAGTTCGGAAATTACAGCTGGTGCAAAGATCAGCGGCCAGATTGTTAACTGGAGCAAATTACAGGGAGCGGTCAACCCTCCTGTTTAAACAGCTCCACTGGCTGCCAATAAGTTTCCAGTCCCAATTCAAGGTGCAGGTTATCACCTATAAAGCTCTAAACGGTTCAGGACCTGCCTATCTGTGAGACCGCCTCCTTCCCTATGAGCCCACACAGTCCTTAAGATCTTCCAGGGATGCCCTTCTCTTGCTCCCGCCCCCCTCATATCAGTGACAGGCCCGTAGCCAGGATTTCGTTTTGGGGGGGATTTTTTTCAGGGGGGGTTTGGGGGGGGCTGAGTTTCGGGGGGGGGGCTGAGTCTGAGTGAAAGAGGGTCTAGCCTAGCAAACCTTTTGTATCATTACCCCAATCCCCCATGCATATGGGATATATTGAGTATGGTGATCAGATCATGATATGAATAAACATAACAGTTTAAATAATGCACCAGTAAGGCCTTTTCGAGAACCACCATGAGAATTTCGGGGGGGGGGGGCTGAAGCCCCTCAGGCCCCCCCCCCCCCCCCCCCGGCTACATGCCTGTCAGGAGAGATTGGTGGGGATGAGGGAAAGGGCATTCTCGGTGGTGGCCCCGTCTCTAGAACTCCCTCCCTAGGGAGATTAGGCTGGCACCCTCCCTAGCCACATTACGCAAGAAATTAAAGACGTGGCTGTTTCATCGTGCATTTGACTGACGTCTCCTATGGCAAACAACTTGTATTGTGACTTGAATCATGATTCAATCTGAATTCCTATATTACATTACTATTCATATTTGTAAGTAAAGCTGAACCAATCCTGATCCTGTTTCATTGCTCTGTTTCCATGCTATCTCCTGTGCCATTATATGTTCCTATTCACCTTATTGAACTATTTACCCTTTAATCGATTCATTTGTTTGCCTCCTTCCCCCTTCCAAAATTGGTTTGTTGTCGCTTGATAGTTGTTTATTACTGTTATGATGTTTGTGCTATTTTAATTTGTAATTTGCTGTTGTTTTTAATCTTTATGTTGCCTGGACTTGGCCCCATGTAAGCCGCCCCGAGTCCCCTTGGGGAGATGAAGGCGGGGTAGGAAAATAAAGTACTTCTTCTTCTTCTTCTTCCTCTTCTTCTCCTTCTCCCTTTTCTCCTCCTCCTTCTTCTTTTTCTGGTCTAGTGAAGTATTGTTTGTAGTTGATGTAGCAATGTAATGAAATAGTTAAATGCATAGAGCTAGAGAGTAACTTTGGAAAGTTCCTCTGAGGGAGACAGATGTTGAGAACTGATAAGCCAGGAATGTGTGCTTCCAGCGATGTATGGCAAAGTGAATTGATGTATTTTATTCTGCTCCTGTATATAGTATTTAGTGTAGATTGCAATAAAAGATAAGAGCCGCTCCAGGCTTTGGAGCTGACTGAGGTAGCATGCTTCATTATTTGTTTTTGTGCCTTTGAACAGACATAGGTCAATAAACCAACACTCACTGTTTTCTTTTAATACATACAAGGATACACATACTCATTGGAAGCTAACTTTATGGAGAAATGGTTGTCTACAGCTAGAACTCAATAAAGACCAGCATGTTTTTAAAAAGGAGAATTTCTTCCCTTGCATTTGATTTTGTGAGAAAGAAAAGAACCACTGTATTGGCCAAAGAGGTCACTCCATGCAATATTATTGAGCATCCACCACAGTTTCTGAATATACCCTATTTCCCCAAAAATAAGACAGGGTCTCATATTAAATTTTGCTCCAAAATATGTGTTAGGGCTTATTATCAGGGGTGTCTTGTTTTTTTCCAAATTGACTTTTTATGAACTGCAACCAGGGCTTATTTTTGACATAGTACTTATATTTTAAGCATCCTCGAAGGCTTTCATGGCCGGAATCACTGGGTTGTTGTAGGTTTTTCCAGGCTATATGGCCATGTTCTAGAGGCATTTTCTCCTAGGAGAAAATGCCTCTAGAACATGGCCATATAGCCCGGAAAAACCTACAACAACCCAATCATGCTAGGACTTATTTTCTGGGAAACAAGGTATCTATGTGGAGTAGGAAATTAGCTCTTAAAATGAATTTAAACATTTAAATTGCTAGAAATATTAAATTTCTGTACACAATAATAAATTTGTGCATATGTAAGTCACAGGAAACATTCCAATATATACAGCTGCCTTCTTATATAATGAACTACCCTTTGGGAAATGTCTCCATGCTCTGCGATGTATTACTCTCTTCCTCCCACCTCCCTCAAAAAAATCAGAAGTGCCTATTGCAGCAGTTATAAAGAAGAGCTCCTTCTTTTTAACTATCCAAGAGTTCAGTACCAATTTATTATGAGTGCTATCAGCGTTTAGGTTATCTTATATATTGTTAATGCACCATCCCACACCCTCAGCGCAGGGTAAATTGGCTCAGTAAATTTGGCATGAAATGTGTGTAGGTGGGCCATTCCGTCTGTTACATTGTAGAAAGACAAGACCCCAGCTTCATAATCCAGGAAAACTCCTACTCGGTTGGGATCGTTCTGTATCCGAATTGGGATTCTCTCTCCATCGTGGAATGCCCAATATTCAAATTCAAACCTTTTAATGCACCAGGAAGCACGGTTGCAGCCCAGACGGCAAAGTTCGGAGTCCCCTTTCCTCTTGATGGAAGGATAGGCGGCCCCAATCCACCATCCTTGTTCGGCTTGAAATAAATCCACCTCCCAGTAATGGCTCCCAGCAAAGAAGGAATCTCTGCTCAAGACTTGCCAGAGTTTGTCAAACCTCTGTGGGCTTGAGGGATAAAGTTTTCTTCTCCAGCAATAGCTCACAGACAGACGGTCCTCGGACAAGGTCAGCCTGGGGTGCAAACTATTTATCTCCAGAGTTGGGGTTCTTGCATCTGCAGGGAAACATCCAGAGATGACACATCTATATAACTAAAAATGTAATGTTCATTTGTGGGGTTAACATAACTTAAAAACCACTCCACAAATTGACACCATATTTGGACACAATACACCTACCAGGCCAACAAGTGACCATCTCTCATAAAAACACTGAAAAACACAGCCAAAACACAGTCAAAAAAATAAAAATACATTACAACGCATGCACAAAACCATACACACACACACACTAGCCGTCCCCTGCCACGCATTGCTGTGGCCCACTCTGGTGGTCATGGGGGTTCTGTGTGGGAGGTTTGGCCTAATTCTATCATTGGTGGGGTTCAGAATGCTCTGTGATTGTAGGGGAACTACAAATCCCAGCAACTACAAAGGGGACCTGTAGACCTTTATGAAGTCTAGTGATGCCTTCAGACCCATCACTACTCAAAGGGTCATTGAGGTTTCTTCTGACCCATGGCTGCTGTCCAAAAGGGACCTGGAGATCTTTATGAAGTCTGGTGATGTCATCTGACCCATCACTGCTCAGAAGGTCAGACCTTTATGAAGTTTCTTCTGGCCAGCTTGCATCATAAAGGTGCAAGCTGGAGACCTTTATGATGCAAGCTGGACTCCTCCCAAGGCTTTGCACCTGTCTCTCCAGCCAGCATTGGCAAAGGACCCAAGATGGCAGTGTCACCTTGGGTTTGCTGATGATGATGGAAGAGGCAATGCTAGACATTGATTATTGCATCAAGTGTGTATTTATTTTAATTCTGGTAATAATTGCCTTAACTTTCTATTTGATTTGGGAGCTCCTGAGAGAGAACCCTCCATTATAGCAGGAACTGTGTCAAACATCCAACAGATGCCTTTCTGCCTGCCTTGGAATTGTGTCCCAGCTTTGGCCCTTTCGGGAATGGGTGAGTACTTTTGCCTCTATAAGTGGCCCAAAAAACCAATGGCTGAGCACCAAGGAACTGAGTGTCTGTCCATCTGTATAGACCTGTGCAATCAATGGGGAAAACAACCAGAGCTATAAGTTTGTGGGCACATTTGGTCAAGTCAACAGTATAAACACGACCCTGGAGATAAAGCGATTATCTTTTTTTAAAACATATACAAAAGAGATTATATTATCAAGTCTGGGAGATCACTGGAGGGATATTTGATGCCCTTCTCAGAAGGTTATGTTAATAGAGAGCACTGGGGAAAACAGATGCCTTCACAGTACATTTAATTTTAAATTTTATACATTTAGGAATTAATACAACACACAATGAATACAAGTTACATGGGATGGTCCAGGAAGTCATGAATAGGTGAAAGCGGCTGAACGAATAAACAACAACAATATTTTGCTTGAAGTCTTCCAAATGTCTAAATTAATTTGGGAGGGTGGCACGTACGGTGGCTTGACAACAATGGAAATTACCATGTGGCTGGCTATCTTTTCCGATGGAGCTATATCTTACAATTCATATATTTCATATCATTCATATTGTTGGGGGCCTGACTTCTTGATAACTGGATCTTGCCCTTCCCAGGGCACTCCCGAAAATAAGCCCTTCTGTGATTTGCTGCAGTATAACTAGGGATTTTCTCTTTCTTTCTTCTTTCATCTTGGCAGGTTTGTGGAAGCGGCAGAGAGAGGCTGCAGGAGACAGCAGCACGACGAGGAAGAGGTAAAGCTCCTTCTGCCCCAAATGTCTAGAGGACTAATGGTTTTCAATGGCTGTTTGCTTCCAAAGGCTCTCCCTCCCATAGTAGGAGGTTTGGGATCTCCTCCATAGGCTTTGGATTCCCCCTCTGGGCCATTTTAGGGGATTTTTTAAGGGGAGTAATTTATAATTTGGTGAGTATTTTGCTTTGCTCTAGAAACCACAATCAGCTTTAACTCTTGCAGATTTGATTAACATCTCCTCTCTGGGATTCTCTTAGGTCCTCTGGCACAGCTGTGTCGCCAATGTTGTTGTGGAGGAGCTAGAGATTCATCAGGAGGACAGATTAACCAATATATAAGTCCTCCAACATGACTTGATGGTCCGCTAATGCTAGGTGTTGATTAATTATAGGGTTGTGCTGGAGGACCAAGAGAGAAAGAGGGAGTGCTGGTGTCAGAAAGGCACTGAATTTGTCATATTCGGTTTGAATACAGGAGTGGGATTTTCACTTGTGGGAAAGGAATAGAAAGGCAGATGCTTCATAGTGTGATTTCTGGGTTGCATCTCTTTCCATCCTGTCTTATCCTCCCTCGTGCCTTTTCAGGGAGAAGACACGGGGCCTCATCCACCATGCCACCATTGTGTGGTCGCTACTTTCCAGAGATGGTACATAAGAAGAATCGAGGTCGAAAGTGAAGTCAATACGGACTTTAGGAGGGTCCCTCCAGTAAGAGAGACCCCTAGGACCACACCAAAGAGGGTCCGCAACTTTGGCGAGGACAGAGAAGGCGGATTTCAGCGATATTAAAATAATAAAAGGCATCATGCAAATATAGTGAAACAGCGAACCACGTATCAGGTATAAGGGTTGAATTGAAAACAGTTGAAATAGTGGGTTCTTTTGGTAACTCAGAGAAAATGGACAGGATTACTACAGAGACCAAGATAAACATAATGGACAATGTTCTAAATTAATATTTTCTATATATTTTCTTAATTTTTTTCACCCCTCATTATCACTCAGAAGAAAGGAAGTCCTTATAAAGACTTTTTTCTCATTTTTCCTCCCCCTTTTTTAATTACAACCCAATTTTATATATTTTTCGATTATGTTTCTTTTCTCTTTCTCTTTTCCCTTTTTTCCTTTCCCTCCCCCCTCTCTCCCCCTCCCCCTCCACTTTTTTTAACCACCTCCCTTACCCTTTTATCCCTTCCTTCCCCCCCGTACCCACTTCATTTCATACCTCCCCCAAAAATTATCAATAATAATAATTTCAAAATAGTGGGTTCTTGAAAAGCAGACCCTCAAATAGCTGCGGATGCCAGTATTAAAATAGGTTATTACTCAATGGCAGCAAGGCATTCAGTGGCCAAGATTCTACACTGCTTCTGCATAGTGTAAGTACTTGTCCGAACCTGTCCAAACGCTTCTCCCTCTATGAACCATCACAGAGGTTAAGATCTTCTGGGAAGGCCCTACTCTCGGTCCCACCTCCTTCGCAGGTGCGACTGGTGTGGATGAGAGACAGGGCCTCCTCAGTGGTGGCCCCTCAGATGTGGAACTCCCTCCCTAGTGGGATTCAATTGGCCCCTTACCTCCTGTCATTATGCAAACAAGTGAAAACTTGACTTTGGGAGCAAGCATTTGGCCCAGCAAAATTATCTGTGCAATGCCGTTGGAATTGACCCTGAATTGATGAATAAGATTATGTGATTATCTGGCTTTCCATCTATGCACAATAGTTGTCTAAAGTTTACATATGTTGTTTTAATGTTGTTTTACATTGTTGTTCAATTGCTTTTAATTGTTGTTGTTTGGGCATGAACTAATGCCAATTATGTAAGCTGGTCTAAGTCCCCTTTGGGGTGAGAAGGGTGGAATATAAATGTCGTAAATAGATAAATAATAAATATGTATTTTAAAATGTATTCAGCTAAACATGCAGCATTGACTGCCAACTGTAAACAGCCTTGAGTCGCCTCCGGGTTGAGAGGGGCGGTATATAAATATGGTAAATAAAAACAAACAAACAAACAGTGTAAATAAAAACAAACAAACAGAGGCTGAAAGCACCCAAAACACATAATGCAACGTTGCATAAAGAGTACATACGTTTTAAGAAAAGGGACCGGTCTATGCAGGAGTTTAATTTCAGCAAGGTACCCGGCTCCTTCTTCAAGGTGCTGTCGAGGCTACTAAAAACATCTTGGCAAACAAAGACAAAACAAACACAAAAAGACAGGCTACTCAGAAACAATCCCTTATTGCTAAAAGTCAGAATTCTTAAAATAATAATAATAATAATAATAATAATAATAATAATACTTTATTTACACCCCGCCACCATTTCCCCAAGGGGACTCGGGATGGCTTACATGAGGCCAAGCCCAAACAACACATCAGTAAAAACAAAACAGCAAGCAAATAAAACAGTACAATTAATATAACTCACATATAAACAATAGCACATAGAATTTAAAACCTTATGAGTCACCTCTCATATTGTATTGAATTTCCATCATGACCTAGAATGAGAGCTAACCAAAATCTGAACTTCACATCCTGTTGGCCCATCTTATAGGTAACCCAACTGAAATACAAAGGAAAACGGGAGACTGTAAGGCCAACTCATCTAGCCAGAAACACATCATGTCACAATGTAGACCCTTTTCATATTACTATGCACTTCCCAGAGAACAATGTCCTGACTGTCCAGATTTTTTTAAAGGGTGTGCACCAAGGGCATGAACACTTTCCGATGCTGAACAACTTCCGATTACAGAAAGAAAGTTTCAAGCCGCTTGATTCATCAAAGCCAATGCTGGTAACAATACGGAGGAAGCTCTAAAAGAAGGGATGAACTTTGGAAAACTGTATGACAACAGAAGGCAGTGGTGTGAGAAAGTAGAAAAAATAACATGCTCATTTTCCCAAACACTAACTACTTTCACAGCCACAGCTGTATTTTTTCTCCAGGCATCCCCGTTCATACCAATGGCATAGGTTGTGGACTATTGTTGCTGCAACTCTTTAGGCTACATGATTTTGAGAAAAACTAAGTGGATCCCCATAAAACAACCAGCATTTCCTCTCACTTTTCGAAGACCACAAGTGCTGCACATGTTCAAGAGATGGGAGAGATGGATCTGTTGGGTGTTTTCAAATCCTTTCTGGTTTACAAGTGACTCAGATGTGAATCTGTCATAGGGTTTTCTTTGCAAAATTTGTTCAGAGAGGGTTTGCCTTCTTCCTCTGAGATGGAGAAATGTGACTTGCTCAAAGTCAGTCAATGGGTTTCAATGGCTGAGAAGCGATTTAAACCCTAAACTCTGGTTTCCAGAGTTTTAATCCAACTCTCAATCATCTACGTTCTCAGATGTGGACTAGGAAAAGCCAAATGGAATCACAGATGTCCAGCACTGATCTAGGTCTTCCAAACGAACCAACAAACAAAAAACCTGGAAAATTTCCAATGCACTAAATAATGTTGGCAAAAATGCTATATTGGAATATACTGTATATACTCAAGTATAAGCCAAGTTTTCCAGCCCCTTTTTAGGCTGAAAAGGCCCCCCCTTGGCTTATATTCAAATCAAGGTTATTTATTTTTTTACTCTGTTGTTATTATTATTACATTTATTATTAATAATAACAACAAGATGAGTCCACAGCAGACAATCTTCTGGCTGTTGTATTGGATCACACGTCGGACACTTCCCAAGCGTCTAGGACTGTATGATGTATCGGCAAATAATGCGTGCAGATCCCAGTAAGGTGGCCTTCTGCAGCTGGCAGATGGTAATTTTGTCAGCGCCGATTGTGTTTAAGTGCAGGCCAAGGTCTTTGCACTGCACCCAGTGTGCCGATCACCACTGGGACCACCTTTGTAATAAATTATTATTATTATTATTATTATTATTATTATTATTATTATTGCATTTATTATTTTACTCTATTATTACTGTTATTATTACATATTTTACTCTATTATTATGATTATGATTTATTACACTTATTATTTTACTCTATTATTATTGGAAGGATACATAAGCACATTTACATTGAAGATAATTAGTATAATGGTGTAATCAGAGTTGGACATTCTTATCTAAAAATTACATSTTATGTAAATATGCAAAAACATTAAACCTATTGATGCCTCAATTAATGTAATTTTATTGATATCAATTTTTATTTTGAAATTTACCAGTAGCTGCTGCATTTGCCCCCCCCCCCCAGTTTATACTCGAGTCAATACGTTTTTCCAGTTTTTTGTGGTAAAATTAGTTGTCTTGGCTTATATTCGGGTCCGCTTATACTTGAGCATGTACGGTATTTTGTATTTAATTATTTCATTGGAATATTGGGATATTTGTAATAAAGTAAAAGTGACAGAATATGTTCCACTTATATGTGACAAAAAATCAGCAAAACATGACCACCACCCCCCTTTAAAAGGATACATACCCAAAAATAGTTATATCGTATACAATACATCTTAAGTTCAAATTTATTTTGCTGAACTACAGGCTAAAAATCACTTACTCAATATTCCAAAATATTCCAAAATTCAAAATTAGCCATATGGGTGGCTAAGACAGTGACACCTTTGCTTTCTGATGGTTCAATGTACAAAAACTTTGCTTCATGCAAAAAATTATTTAAACTATAAAATTGCCTTCTGTATATAAGACACAAATGACACAAAATTGCCTTCTGTATATAACACACAAACTAACTTCATGTTTAGACTTCGTCCATCTCAAACACACCTCGTTCTGTAAATGCAAATGTTCCAGAATCCAAAATAATAAAAAATGAAATATGAAACACTCCTGATCCCAACCATTTTAGATAGGGAATTTTTCTATTTGTGTCAAGAGCGACTTGAGACACTGCAAGTTGTTTCTGGTGTGAGAAAATTGGCCATCTGCAAGGACATTGCCTGGGGGACGCCTGGATGCTTTTGCGTGTTACCATCCTTGTGGGAAGCTTCTCTCATGTCCCCGCATGGAGAGCTGGAGCTGACAGAGGGAGCTCATCTGTGCTCTCCCTGGATTCGAACCACTGACCTGTCCGTCTTCAATCCTGCCAGCACAAGGGTTTAACCCATTGCACCACTGGGGGCACTTCAAACTACAAGAAAGGAGATTCCCTCTGAACATTAGGAAGAACTTCCTGACTGTGAGAGCTGTTCAGCAGTGGAACTCTCTGCCCTGGCATGTGGTGGAGGCTCCTTCTTTGGAAGCTTGTAAACAGAGGCTGGATGGCCATCTGTCAGGGGTGCTTTGAATTCAATTTTCCTGCTTTTTGGCAAGGGGTTGGACTGGATGGCCCATGAGGTCTCTTCCAACTCTATGATTCTATAAATGTAGTATCTTCAGTTTCAACCACCAACTTACTACATTCTTTATCAGTTCCCTTTCAAATTGAGCAGATTCAGCACGACAATTGGAACATTTCATATCACTATAGGGCTGGTGACAGTATAGTAGCCTATGCAGGGAGAGAGATAGCTGGATGGATGGACAGAAGCATGGGGAAATATGGTAAAATTTTCCCCAAGAAATGAAAGCATTGGGAATTTTTTCGACCTCACATCACTGGTGACCAGTTTGGTGTTTTCATGCTTACCTTCTTTGAGCCGAGTTTTGAGTGGTTTCTGGAAGATGGATTGAATGGCCTCCAGAAAGAGCTTGAAGTGGTTTGTAATGTGTTCGAACGATACAGGCACTGGAGCCAATTGCTCTGCGGGGATCCTCTGCTTCAACATATCCTTTTCTATCATGCTGTACTCCTGGCAGAAGAAGCGTGAATTTTTACATGTTCTTAACATTGCTTGCCTCGTGTTCCTGAACATCCACATCAGCTACAGCATGGATGCTACATAGCCGCCCCAAATCCCTTCGGGGAGATAGGGAGGGCTACAAATAAAGTATTACAGTCCTGGGTTCATCCCACAGTCCTTTGGTTACATTCAAAGGCCTGAGTTGAAGTGGAGGAACCCAAGTTCTTCATCATCTGGTTGATGATCCAGGAGAGGAAGACTCAGATTATTGGTTGAAGCTCTTGAACTCTCAGATCAAACAAAGTTAGATAATTCACTATGTAACAAAATTTGGAAAAAAATCTGTTCCTGGTTTGAATGTATTATGCCTGTTTAATTTTCTCGGTGTGATGTACCACCGGAGGAGCATTTAAAACCAGTTTTCCTTTAAGTCAGCRGTTCTCAACCTRGAGGTCGCGACCCCCAGGGGGGTCGCCTGGCCATTTTGGAGGGGTCGCGAAGCCACCTCCGTTGGCCCTGCCCTAAGGGCGCGGGCCAGGCAAGGTTTTCCTCAYGCAAGGTCTGGCCCTGCGCAAAGCCCGCTTCGCCTGCCTAGCTCTCCCGCCATTCGGCAAGGGGGCAAGGCAGGCAAGGTGTCCTCTGTGCGGGCTTGGCCCGTGCAAAGCTCACTTCGCCTGCCTCATTCTCCCGCCATTTGGCGGGGGGGGCGAGCCAGGCGAGGCGTCCTCCGTGCGGGCCTGGCCCGTGCAAAGCTCACCTCGCCTGCCTCACTCTCCTGCAATTTGGCGGGGAGGGCGAGGCAGGCGAAGTGACCTCCGTGCGGGCCTGGCCCGCGCAAAGCCCGCCTCGCCTGCCTCTCTCTCCCGCCATTTGGCGGGGGGGACGAGGCGGGTGAAACGTCCTCCGTGCAGGCCTGGCCCGTGCACAGCTCGCCTCGCCTGCCTCGCTCTCCCGCCATTCGGTGAGGGGGCAAGGCAGGCGTGGCATCCTCCCTGAGGGTGTCAGAGTGGTCGCCAAAGACCATTGGAAAACACAGTTTTTTTTCTGTTTGTCTTGCATGTGGGAAGTTTGGCCCAATTCTATTGTTGGTGGGGTTCAGAATGCTCTTTGATTGTAGGTCAAGTATAAATCCCAGCAACTACAACTCCCAAATGTCAAAGTCTATTTCCCCCATACTCCACCAGTGTTCACATTTGGGCATACTGAGTATTCATGCCAAGTTTGGTCCAGATCCATCATTGTTTGAGTCCACAGTGCTCTCTGGATGTAAGTGAACTACAACTCCAAAAGTCAAGGTCAGTGCCCACCAAATCCTTCCAGTATTTTTTGTTGCTCATGGGAATTCTGTGTGCCAAGTTTGGTTCAATTCCATCATTGGTGGAGTTCAGAATGCTCTATTTATAGGTGAACTATAAATCCCAGCAACATCAACTTCCAAATGATAAAATCAACCTCTCCAACCCCGCCAGTAGTCAAATTTGGGCGTATTGGGTATGTGTGCAAAATTTGGTCCAGTGAATGAAAATACATCCTGCAGATCAGATATTGACATTACGATTCATAACAGTAGCAAAATTCCAATTATGAAGTAGCAATGAAAATAAATTGATGGTTGGGGGTCACCACAACATAAGGAACTGTAATAAGGGGTCGCGGCATTAGGAAGGTTGAGAACCACTGCTTTAAGTCCTCAATTTTGTTGAGAGCATCCCAATCCCTGTATATTTCCAATTTCCTATTTCTGGACTGCAACTCCCAGCAGTTCTCCAGATAGATAGATTAGATAGAGATAGATAGGTAGATAGATAGATCAGGAGGACTGTTGGGAGTTGCAATCCAAGAATAGGAAGAGAAGGAAGAACGAGGAGAAAGAGGAAGGGAAAGAAAAGTGGGGGGGGCACGAAGGGAAGAGGAAGAGAAGGAAGGAAGGAAGGAAGGAAGGAAGGAAGGAAGGAAGGAAGGAAGGAAGGAAGGAAGGAAGGAAGGAAGGAAAGAAAGAAAGAAAGAAAGAAAGAAAGAAAGAAAGAAAGAAAGAAAGAAAGAAAAGGGAAGGAGAGAAAGAAAGAAGGAGAGAAAGAGGGAGGGAAGATTGGCGACAGCAACACATGGTGGGTACAACTAGTAAACTTTATTTATATTCTGTCCTATCTCCCCAAGGGGACTCAGGGCGGATCTGAGGGGACTATCACAGAGCTTTCTGTTATCCCAGATTATCTGGTAGTGCGGACCCATATAATCCAGTTTAAAGCAGAAAACCTGGGATCAGATCCTGGGATATAGGGCCTGTCTGGAAGGGTTCGCCAAGAGATGTAACTCCCAAATAACTCTTCCAAACTACCTGGTGGACTTTGGAGGTGAGGACACATACAATAAGGCACTTGCTTTGCTTCCACAAACTAAAAGACAGAAGAAAAATGCAGACCTACCTTCAGCAAAAAGAGAGGGTCAGGTTGAAGTTGGATTTGCCTGATCCTGTCCATAAAACTGTTTATGGTCTCCACGTGTCCCTTGCATGCCTCCGATTGTTCTGCATATGCCCTTAGAGTCTGCTGGACCTTCTCATCGATGTATCTTTTCGTCAAGGTTTCCTCCTCATCAAATAGGAGGCGGAGCTCAGTGAACTTCCCCATCAGCCAGGTTCTACTTGCCAATGCCTGAGCCTATAGGTAGAAAGAAGCCTCAGCATCACATGAAGACTGTGAAGCAACACAAACATCATTGAATGTCAACATCTCTACTGCACTTTTTACTGCTTTAGAAACAAATTGTCCAGGAGGGATTCTCCTAAAGAGGCCTGATTTAGCCAAAATATATGACCAAATGGAGCCCTTGGAGGCGGAGCAGGTTAAACCACTGAGCTGCTAAACTTGCTGACCGAAAGGTCAGCGGTTTGAATCCAGGGAGCAGAGTGAGCTCCCATTGATAGACCCAGCTTCTGCCAACCTAGCAGTTCGAAAGCATGCAAATGTGATTAGATGAATAATGATGATGATGATGATGGTAATAACAACAATAAAAACACAATCCAGAGCAGAAGGGAAAACTGGCAAAATAAGGCTCTCCATGGACACTTCCTGGCAAAAATTGAGAGCCAAATTGACAAAGAAAAAACATGGTCATGGCTCACAAATGGAACTCTGAAAAAGGAGACAAAGGAGGGCCTGATTCTGGCAGCCCAAGAACAAGCCATTCGAACCAATGCCATCAAAGCCAGAATTAAAAAGTCAGCAACAGATCCCAAATGTAGACTTTGCAAGGAAGCAGATGAAAAAACAGATCACATCCTCAGCTGCTGCAAGAAGATTGCGTAGATGGACTACAAGCAGAGGCATAATACTGTTGCTCAGGTGATCCATTGGAACCTGTGCCACAAATACCATCTGCCTGCGATAAAGAACTGGTGGGATCACAAGCTGGAAAAGGTTACAGAAAATGAACACATCAAACTACTCTGGGATTTCCGAATTCAGACAGAGTTTTGGTGCACAATACTCCTGACCTCACGATCATGTTAAAAAACAAAGTATGGATTGTTGATGTTGCAATCCCAGGCGACAGCAGGAATGAAGAGAAACAAATGGAAAAGCTGACATGATATGAGGATTTAAAGATCAAACTGCAGACTCTGGCACAAGCCAGTAAAGGTGGTCCCAGTGGTAATGGGCACACTGGGTGCAGTGCCTAAAGACCTTGGCCTGTACTTAAACACAATCGGTGCTGACAAAATTACCATCTGCCAGCTGCAGAAGGCCACCTTACTGGGATCTGCATGCATTATTCGCCGATACATCACAGAGCCCTAGACACTTGGGAAGTGTCCGACATGTGATCCAGTACAACAGCCAGTAGAGTGATCTTGTCTGCTGTGGACTCATCTTGTTGTGTTTCAAATAATAATAAAAGTAATAATAGTAATAATAATAATAATTTTATTTATACCCCACCACCATCTCCCCAAAGGGACTAGGGGCGGCTAACATGAGGCCAAGCCTCAATAATTACAATAAGGCAAAATAAAATGCATACAACAGACAATAGCATCAAATAAAATGCTTAACAATAACAAAATATTACAATAAGATAATGGCAATAACATAATAAGACACAATGGAAAATGATGAAGGAAATTAAACAGGGCGAGCTGGGCCAATGGGTACTGCTCCAGCGGGAAGGTAATGGTGCTCCATGCAGTCATGCCAGCCACATGACCTTGGAGGCGTCTACGGGCAACGCCGGCTCTTCGGGTTAGAAATGGAGATCAGCACCAAACCTCAGAATCGAACATGACTAGACTTAATGTCAGGGGAAAACCTTTACCTTTACTATATGGCCAAATATTTGGACAAAGTACAGGAGATTAATAAATATGCCACACTGACTCTTTCTTTAACTTACACACACACACTCAATGCAGAAATTCATATGCTTACATGTTAAGAAGGCTAAAATTGACCACAGGGAAGTGAATGTGTAAGTTAGAGAAAGAGTCAGTGTGCACCTCTATGTATAGAAAAAGAATAATAGAAACATTGAAAGAGAACCCAAGGGTCCTACAGTCCAACCCTCTTCTGCCATGCAGGAATACACAATCAAAGCGCTCCTGACAGATGGCCATCCAGCCTAGGTTTAACTGCATCCAAAGGAGACTCCACCACACTCCCAGGTAACACCATCAGGAGTATGACAAACTTTTGCATGTTGAGAGCAGAAGAATTGCAGAGGGCTGCTTAACTATGTTGGAGTTAACACAGCAGTTTCACAAATTCCAAGATTACGAACCTTGGTAAGGTTAGTGTAACAATCCGTGTTATTATAACGTGTTTCTGGATACACAACTTTTGGGGTGGGGAGTAATATGAGCACCCATGTTCCAGGAGTAGGGACTAATTGGTTAATACCCATTATGTTAGAAAATATAAAGGGGCAATTTAATGTTGCAGTTAATGAAAGTGGAGTTGGCAAAAATTATTATAGTTAATTAAATCACTATAGTTATTAAACTACAGCAATTAACTTGAGAAATAATTTTATCGTTTATTTGATTCTAGAATTAATTAATTGAGTAAAAAGAAATTGAACTTGACATACATTTCTATCAATTTAAAGCCACTGCTTTTAGTGGCTGTTATTGTATGTTCACGGAAACTTGAACAGTATTCAAGGCCAAGGCCTGGACTCAGGGCACCTGTGCTCCAAAACCATGGTAGCCCTCTTAAGCCATTGGTGAGCTCCTGAGAAGGTTGTAATCAAACTTGATTCAGTTTTGACTATTTCTGGACTGGAGCGTAACAGGTTGAAGAATCTCCTTTTCATGTGCCAAGAATAACCCTGTGACCACAGTGCCAGTGAGGGCAGCCTGCCAATGTCAATACCATATTCACTAAGTAACTCAGGTGTTTCCCTGAAGCTGCCCTGTCCTTTGGTCTCTATGAAAAGGAGTGGCTCGGCTTGGTGGGGAGTCACTGCCCGAAGCGGTTTGCTTTGCAACCAAGTAAATTCATTTCAATTGGACTATTGACAGTGGATAATTTTAGAGTGGGATAGCGGTGTGTGTGCATGTGTGTGAGACAAAGGAAGAGAGGGAGAGAGAGGGAAAGAGGGAAGGAGTAGGATCAAGAGTTGGTCAATGATCAAGGGTCTGGAGAACAAGCCCTATGAGGAGCGGCTTAAGGAGCTGGGCATGTTTAGTGCGCATTCATGTTACCTTTAGTGCGCATTCATGTTACCTTTAGTGCGTTTGTCGCCTCTTCTATATGTTTTGAGTTGTCCCTTTCCTGCTGCTGCTTCAGGGCTAACTGTTTCAAGCACGATGCCATTATTTCCTGTGTGGCACGGAAGAAAACATAATTGTGACAACTTTGCTTAGATAGCTTTTCTGAAGATACATCTCTCCAACTTCTTAGTTCAGTGTTTTGCAACCTGGGGGTTGGGACCTCGCCGGGGGGGGGGGGGGGTGTTGAAAGGGGGTGTCAGAGTGGTGGTCAAAGACCATCAGAAAACACTGCTTACTTACTTAGGTGATCCCTCGTTGTCTGAGTAGGATTGTCTTCCAGGATCGGTGTCCTGGCAGTGGGTCCATAGGTGACTGTGAAGCCCAATTCTTGATCTGCATCTTCTCCCACAGTGAGGGCATTGGTTTCCAGGTGGAAGGCGGTCCCGGTCGGAGTTGGCTTGTCCCTTCCTCTTGGCATGTTTCTCTCTTTCACCCTCCATTCGTGCCTCTTCAAATTCTACAGCACTGCTGGTCACAGCTGACCTCCAGCTGGAGCGCTCAAGGGCCAGGGCTTCTGGGTGTCCCCTGGGCAACATCCTTGCAGATGGCCAATTCTCTCACACCAGAAACCTCTCTGACACCCCCTCGCAACCCCCCACCCAGGGGCCCCAACCCCCAGGTTGAGAAACACTGCACTAGATATCCCATGAAATCTCTTCCAACTCGATGCCCCCCTCCACACTGCAGAATAAAATCCCACATTTTCTGCTTGGAACTGGAATATTTGGCCAGGATTTATTTATTATTTATTTATTTCAAACATTTGTACCCGGCCCTTCTCAACCCATGCAGGGGGTCTCAGAGCGGCTTACAGCCGGCAACAATTTGATACCCCACATACAACATAAAAATGCAGTAATGACATAAATAACATTAAATTAGATTAAAATTAAGTCCATTTAAAAATTAAACACTGGCTGGTTAGCCCTATCTAGAGCTAAATTCTGTGACCAACAACACAATCAGAAATGTGTCCATAGTCCATTTCCATAGCATTATCACATAGTTATTGTCATAGTCAGCAAGCTACCCGAAAGTCTGGTCCCACAGCCACATTTTCAACTTTTTCCCGAAGGAAAGGAGGGATGCAGTTGACCTAATTTCACTGGGGAGTTTTGCAGGTGAGGGGCCACCACCGAGAAGTCCCTGTCTCTTGTCCTCGCCAAGCATGTTTGCGCCAGAGGTGGGATCAAGAGCAGGGCCCCCCCAGAAGATCTTAAGCTCTGAGGTGGGACGTAGTGGGAGATACATTTGGACAGGTAAGCTGGGCTGGAACCATCTGAGGGCAGGGGTCTACAAACATTTTAAACAGAGGGCCAGGTCACAGTCCCTCAAACTGTTCGAGGGCTGGATTATAATTTGAAAAACATGAATGTATTCCTATGCACACTGCACATATCTTATTTGTAGTGCAAAAACACTTAAAAATACAATAATTAAAATGAATTTTAACAATTATAAACATATTAGTATTTCAATGGGAAGTGTCAGCCAGCTTTTGGCTTTTTTTTTTTTTTGTCATGTCAGGAGCAACCTGAGAAACTGCAAGTCACTTCTGGTGTGAGAGAATTGGTCGTCTGCAAGGACGTTGACCAGGGGACGCCCGGATGATTTGATGTTTTATCATCCTTGTGGGAGGCTTCTCTCATGTCCCCGCATGAGGTGCTGGAGCTGATAGAGGGAGCTCATCCGCCTCTCCCCGAATTTGAACCTGCGACCTGTTGGGTCTTCAATCCTGCCAGCACGGGTTTGACCAACTGTGCCACCGGGGGCACCTTTTGGCTGATGAGATAGCATTGTTGTTGTTGTTGTTGCTGTGTGCTTTCAAGTAGTTTCAGACTTAGGTTGACTCTGAGCGAGGGTCAGGTAAATTACCTTGGAGGGCTGTATCTGGCTCCCGGGCCTTAATTTGTGGACCCCTGATATAGGGCTTTATAGGTCAGCCAGTGGATCCCAGGTTTTCTGTTTATCCCAGATTATCTGGCAGCGTGGACTCATATAATCCAGTCTAAAGCAGGACACCAGGGATCAGATATTGGGATAATAGGACTGTCCAGAAGGGCCCTCAAATAACCCAGTTCAAAGCAGATATTGTGGGGTTTTCTACCTTGATATTCTGAGTTATATGGCTGTATGATTCTATGGGCCCTTCCATACAGCCCTATATCCTAGGATATCAAGGTAGAAAATCCCACTGGATTTGAAATGGATTATCTAAATCCAGACTCTGAGAATGTGGGATTTTCTGCCTTGATATTCTGGGGTATAGGGCTGTGTGAGAGGATGGGCCCTAGGTGCCTCCCAAATGCCTTGGCTGCTTTGCCTTGGTGGGTGGGATGCCTCTTCCAGCCCTTCCTCTCCCCCTTGGCAAGCCTTACCCTCTTGCTCTGGGCGGCCTGGGCCAGGAGCTGGACGGCGTGGCCCTGGTGGGCTCCTACAGCCGGGCAGAGGGCGCACACGCAGCGCCCGCACTCCACGCAGAACAGCTCCACGGGCCTTCCCGCGTGATCCGCGCACAAACGCTCCAGGTCTATCAGAGCTCCCCAATCCTCCTCCTCTTCTCCCTCTGAAGCCCCGACTACACGCAAGCGATGGCCGCGGAAAGCCGGGCCGGGCTCCCCGTCCACTCCTCCGTGGGAAAGCCGCGCGTGGGCTTCGCAGAAAGAGCGCAGGCAGGTGAAGCAGCGCCATGCCGCGGGTCGGGGCTCCTCCGGCGCGCAAAGGTCGCAAGTGGCGCCCTCGGAGGAAGAAGAAAGAGGCCCGTCCTGGGACTCCCCACTTTGCGCCATGAGATCTCCGTGGGAGAGGGAAAGAGAAGAAGGAGGCAGGGGAGGAAAGAAGGGCGGGACAGGACAGGGAGGGAGGGAGGGAGGGCCCTGGGGAGGAGAGAGGAAAGGCAGGCAAGGAAGTAAAGGTCAAACGTTTTCCCCTGACATTAAGTTCCCTCTGACTCTGGAAGGTGATGCTCATCTCCATTTCTAAGCCGAAGAGCCGGCTTTGTCCGTAGAAGTCATGTGGCCGGCATGACTACTTTACCTTCCCACCAAAGCGGTACCTACCTATTGATCTATTCACATTTGCATTTTTTTCGAACTGCTAGGTTGGCAGGAGCTTGGGCTTTCTGTCAACAAGTTCAGCAGCTCAGCACTTTAACCCACTGCACCAGAGGCAGGGAAGGAGAGGCGAAACAAATAGTGGCTCCCCGAATTCGAACCTACACCTTTCTGTCAACAAGTTCAGCAGCTCAGCACTTTAACCCACTGCACCAGAGGCAGGGAAGGAGAGGCAAAACAACAACAGGAACAACAACAACAACGGGTTGTTGTAGGTTTTTCGAGCTATATGGCCATGGTCTAGAGGCATTCTCTCCTGACGTTTCGCCTGCATCTATGGCAAGCATCCTCAGAGGTAGTGAGGTCTGTTGGAACTAGGAAAATGGGTTTATATATCTGTGGAATGACCAGGGTGGACAAAGAACTCTTGTCTGTTGGAGCTAGGGGCTAATGATTGTTATACGGATGTTTAATGATTTATGTTACAATTGTTTTTAATTGCCCTATACTTAGAGAAGAGATAGAGATAAATGACTGGTTTAATTATCATCAATTAATGACTGGTTTATGAAAGATGCTGGTGCAGGGTTCTTCATAAGAAAATCTGTGTTGGAGAGCATCTTTGAGAAGGGGTACAAGGCTTTAATTTCCAGACTATACGCGTATAATCAATCACAACATTGTGTTGGCACAGATTATTTATTTATTATTATTTATTTAAAACACTTATATTCCGCCCTTCTCACCCCGAAGGGGACTCAGAGCGGAGCACAACATATACATGGCAAACATTCAATGCCTGGGTACAATACATAAACATTAAAAAACATTTATCTAAATATTAAAATACACCATTTAAAATAACACAATTTAAAACCGTCCTAGCCTAGTAAACATCTTCTGATTTCCTGGCTGCAGTCTGTGTCTGCAGTAATCTTTGCACCTAGAAATTGCAGGTTCAAATATGGAGAGCAGGGTGAGCTCCTGCTGTTAGCCCCAACTTCTGCCAATCTAGCAGTTTGAAAGCATGCCAATGTGAGTACATCAATAGGTACCGCTCCAACAGGAAAGTAACGGCGCCCCATGCAGTCATGCTGGCCACATGATTTAGGAGGCATCTACTGACAGTGCTGGCTCTTCGGCTTAAAATGGAGATGAGCGCCAACCACCAGAGTCAGACACGATTGGACTTAATGTCAGGGGAAAACCTTTACCTTTACTAGTGATGTTGACAGACTTTACCTGCCCAGAAAATCAGGAGGCAGAGGGCTTCTGCAAGTGAAACAAACAGTAGAAGAAGAGAAACATGCACTGGCGGATTATGTGAAAGGCAGTCAAGGACCAACATTGGAGGGCCAGATTATAATTTGAAAAAAAAAAGAATGAATTCCTATGCACAGTGCACGTATCTTATTTGTAGTGCAAAAAACACTTAAAAACAATACAATAATTAAAATGAATAACATTTTCAACAAATATAAAATTATTCGTATTTCAATGGGAAGTGTGGGCCTCCTTTTGGCTGATGAGATAGGATTGTTGTGGTGGTGGTGTGCTTTCAAGTCATTTCAGACTTAGGTTGACCATGAGCGAGGGCCAGGTAAATGACCTTGGAGGGATGTATCCTGCCCTTGGGCCTTAGTTTGAGGACCCTAGTTCTCCGAATCATAGTCCAGCACGCAAACTACTCTGGTTCTCACTGAGACCTGCAAAGTGAATTAACAGGCATAGCACAAACTGTCCAATTCTATCCAGATAATAACTTAATTAGTTCAAAGTCCCAGCATTAAGAATACTAGAGTTCTCCCACTGGCTTGTTGATTATATATATGGCCATGCCTTGAGTTTTCCACCCATTTCTACTTTAGCTTTGATTGCTGTGCGCAGAATCCAGGAAGGCATTGTAGACAAATGGTGGCAAAGAGCCTATGACAAATTGATGCCAACCCTGGATCTCATCACACTAGAGAATGAATCCACTTTAAATGCGGTTTCTGCTTCCTGCAGAATTTTGGAGTTTGTAGTTTAGTGAGGCTGTTAAAGGCTCCTCCCTAAACTACAAACCTCAGAATTCTGCAGGAGGCGGACACTGGATTTAAAGTGGATTCATTCTCTGCTGTGATGAGGTCCTCTGTCTACTAGGACCGAACTGTCACTAACATCAGGTTCATTCATTTGCTCCCCTTTTAAAATCACGGATGTTCAGTATTTGCTATAATGGCACCATCTACAGGACTTAACTGTACATTTAGTTGTGCTGTTGCCTCCCCAGATGCCATTAAAGCCAATCTGGCTTGAGCTTGGATTAGGACTTTGGAGATCAGGATTCGAATCCTCTCAGCCATGGAAAACCCATTGGGTGACCTTCGGCAAGATGCTCTTTCTCAAAGGAAAGAGCCACCTCCTTCCATAAACAAACCTACTCGATGGGACTTCAATGAGTCCAAAAGGGCTTGAAGGCACACCAGGAGATCCAGGGATGTTTTTTCCAAGATCCCAAGCAACGAGTCAAAGATTTCAAACACCTCGCTCATGGAGCCAAGCCAGGTTGGGGAGCATAACATTACAGCAATTCTATTCGTCCTTTTAAAGTAAAACAATTCTTGTGTTCAATGTATTGTCGAAGGCTTTCATGGCCGGAATCCATGGGTTGTTGTAGGTTTTTCCGGGCTATATGGCCATGTTCTGGAGGCAATTTTTCTCCTGACGTTTCGCCTGCATCTATGGCAAGCATCCTCAGAGGTAATGAGGTCTGTTGGAACTAGGAAAAATGGGTTTATATATCTGTGGAATGACCAGGGTGAGACAAAGGACTTTTGTTTGCTGGGGCTAGCTGTGAATGTTTCAGCTGATCACCTTGATTTGCATTCAATGGCTTGGAAGCGCCTGGGGGAATCTTTTGTTGAGAGTGATTTCATGTGCCTGTTTGTTTCCCCTCTGTTGTTTTGCTGCTGTAATTTTTGAGTTTTTTAATACTGGTAGCCAGATTTTGTTCATTTTCATGGTTTCCTCCTTTCTGTTGAAATTGTCCACATGCTTGTGGATTTCAGTGGCTTCTCTGTGTAGTCTGACATGGTGGTTGTGAGAGTGATCCAGCACTTCTGTGTTCTCAAATAATATGCTGTGTCCAGGTTGGTTCATCAGGTGCTCTGCTATGGCTGATTTCTCTGGTTGGAGTAGTTTGCAGTGCCTTTCATGTTCCTTGATGTGTGTCTGGGCGCTGCGTTTGGTGGCCCCTATGTAGACTTGTCCACAGCTGCATGGTACACGGTAGACTCCTGCAGAGGTGAGTGGATCCCTCTTGTTTACATAGGACAAGTCAAGGTGATCAGCTGAAACATTCACAGTTAGCCCCAGCAAACAAAAGTCCTTTGACTCACCCTGGTCATTCCACAGATATATAAACCCATTTTTCCTAGTTCCAACAGACCTCATTACCTCTGAGGATGCTTGCCATAGATGCAGGTGAAATGTCAGGAGAAAAATTGCCTCCAGAACATGGCCATATAGCCTGGAAAAACCTACAACAACCCAATTCTTGTGTTGAGAGGGGGGCTGAGTGTTGTTGCACACTTCCAACATTCAGCAGTCTTGAGGCGTCTGGACAGAATGGATCGAGGACAAATATGCAAAAAGGAGGCAATTGGGATTTTCAAGTGAAAGGATTCTAAGCAAATTGTCATTACAGGTTTCTGTCACACATTTTGACTTTTTTCCCTTGTGTTTAATTTGCACGCCAGCCAACTTTGGGTGGTTTTAAAATCCAGACTGTATCCTTTATATGGAATTCTGAAATCCTAACCACTGTAATCCAAAACCATTCACATGGGTGGCTGAGATAGTGACACCTTGGCTTTCTGATACTTCAATGTACAGACTGTTTCAAGTACAAAATTAAAAACATTGTGTATAAAATTACTTCCAGGTTATGTTATATATGGAGCATATGAAACAAAGGAATCATATATTAGTCCTGGTTCCCATCTCCAAAATATCTCATTATGTACATGCATGCAAATCCAAAATAATGATCCCAAGTATTTTGAGTAAGGGGTACTCAAGCTCTAGTGCAAATAATTCTGAACATTAATACCCCTACTATGCACTAGGAAGCTAAAATACACTGTTATGTATATAATAATCTTTTACAGATTGCTTTGTTTAGGAGGGCTTTGTTTTGAGGGGGGAGCATATACTTACTAACTCTATTGTGCAGCTACAGTTAACAAATTGTGCATACTTTGAGTAACTACCTTTTTTTTAAAAAAAGTGTTGTAACAGTGGAAAAGGTACATTAACGAAAACAATAAATAGAATGTGTTGTTGAAGGCTTTCATGGCCAGAATCACTGGGTTGCTGTAAGTTTTCTGGGCTGTCTAGCCATGTTCCAGAAGTATTCTCCTGACATTTCGCCCATATCTATGTCAGAGGTTTTGAGGTCTGTTGGAAACTAGGCAAGTGAGGTTTATATAACTGTGAAATGTCAGGTTGGGAGAAAGAATTTTGTCTGTTTGAGGAAGGTGTGAATGTCACCATTGGCCACTTTGATTAGCATTGAATGGCCTTGCAGCTTCAAAGCTTAGATGCTTCTTGCTTGGGGGATCCTTTGTTGGAAGGTGTTCGCTGGCTCTGATCGTTTCATGTCAGGAATTCCTGTTTTTTGAGTGGGCATTCACCCTGGACATTTCACAGCTATATAAACCCACTTGCCTAGTTTCCAACAAACCTCACTACCGCTGAGGATGCCTGCCTTAGATGTGGGCAAAACGTCAGGAGAGAATGCTTCTGGAACATGGCTATACAGCCTGGAAAACTCACAACAGCCCAATAAAGAGAATGCCATTTTCAAAGGAAATTAGAGCTCTTTGTAACTCAGTTATGCTGCAGTTTTAGTGATGTTCCAGAGGCAATGCAGTTAATGTTTTGACCCTCACTATCACAGAGAAGGAAATCTGAAGCTCTCTTTCAATGGATGATCCAGTAGATGTAAATAATTATGCTTTTTTAGGGTTTGCATTGTATAAGTTCACAGATATCACCGATAATTTGAAGGAAGCGAATGCTGTACTTAGGTGTGAAAAGAAGCACCACAGAGCTGTATAAGTGTACATCATACATTTATTACTGAACAACCCTCTCAACTCCAAAATTGGGCACAGGGATTAAAAATAAAAATTCATTGCACTACTTAGTAAAGCATTACTAGTAACTCTCATAAAAAATGTACAAATTTTGTTAAAAATTTATCAAGCCTTCAAATGATTTGGTTACAGATATTTATAATACATTTAAAACTACATGTTAAATGATACAATGGAGTATGATTTGAAAGGAAACACTTGACAAATATGATTCTAACAAAACCCATAAGCTTTCATAATCATTAGCAAGTCTGCAACACAAAAGAGCAAAATGAGGTAACTGAAGGTACCAAAGGGGTCGAAGGAAAACAAGAGAGCCGCGGCCCTCCTAGACAGGCCTACCAGTAACTGAGTCTGTAATGAGCTTTTGGAAAGCAAAACAAAAGGAGTCAGTAAGTTCCAAACATTACAAGAGGTGAAATCGTGAACAGCCGCAACAAAACAAAACAAAAATCACATCCTGGAGACTGTACAAAAAACTCTATACAAAAAAAATTACTTTGCACAAAATAAATCTGTAAAGAAAGCCACAAAATAAGACCTTCGAGATATCCAAAAGGCCTTTTTATACCCAGTTTATAGATTTCTTTTTTTAAAAAAGCCAGAAGATCAAATTAAGTTGACAGTTCATGCAAATAAAACCCCAGCAGTGCCAACATGATAAAGCCAACTTTTTTTTTGTTTTCTTCCTTTAGTGGGAGAGGTAGGGAGAAGGCGTGGGAGGGTGGCAGAGAGGCGAACCCAATGTAATCTGATGCCGTCAGGCCCCCATGAGAGTTATGTGGGACTGAGCGCACAAATGTGCATTAACGCATGGCAGTTAACAGCTGAGCACGGATCCTCCCCCCACTTTCTATTCGGGTTGGTGGCAGCTGGGTTGGGAATCCTTCGGCCACCAGACTGAGCAAGTTCAGGGGTGCCATGCGTGTGTCTCTCTCTCACACACACACTGAACCACAGGAAATAGATCCACCCACTTTTGCAAGAGCCCCATGCAAACAATAGTCATTCAGGGGGGAGAGATCAGCCACAGAAGTGCAACAACGAACTCTGGTGATACCACCAACATATTTTCTATGGCAGCCATATCCCTCTGCCAACCTGAAACTGGGAAGCAAGGGATAGACCTCTGCGCTGCAGCACGGATCCAATTCAGGGCTGAGAAGTCACTTCTCAAAAGTAGGTACTATGTGCCTTATCACTTTGTTAGAGGAAAGTGCCTTTATTTCTTTGCTTTGACAGTAGACACTGGGTGGGGTCGCGTTACAGTTAGTTTAGTACAGGTAAAAATTGTTTTGTCCAGCAATATAAAAAAGACCCAAAGTACTGTAAAACTTGCGTGTGGCTCCTCCCGGCCCACCTCCCAACCCATGATTTTGTTTGCTTTAGAAAAATAAAGTCTACTATGTGCAATTTAACCTTTCTGACATGTTGAGACGATTACTGAGGGGAAGAAAATGGTAGCGTTTGCTAACGTCGCATACAGTGTGGCAAATTTGCTTTCAGATCTTGACACTATGGACAGACTAAGGCGCCTAGCTACGAAACAGAGGCAAACGGTTATCCGAAAAAAAGGGAGGATTAAGAATTGTGCTTTTTCATTTTGCAGAACCACAAGCTGCGATTGGTCAGCAGAGCCTTCGGAAGGAAGGACAATTCATAACGAACACTGTTGTGGAGGAACAAACAGACTTAACATATAGCAGCATACAAAAAGCCTTAGAAAAGGAGGCAAGGAGGAACATAAAAGCCGACAGGCAGCAGATTCCAGCAATATTGCTAGCTGCGGTGCTTGTGCTGTTGCAACCAAACGTTAGTTGTGGTGCTTAAATCAAAAAGAAGAGAAATGTCCATCTGTAATAACGTGTAACCGTGTACTTGGAGGGGAGGGGGATTATAAACGCCAAGTCTAACATGGTAAGTGATGTCATTTTCCCCCCCCAATTATCCAGGAGGCAGTTGAAAGGAGGTCAACTCCAAATTCACAGCATTTATTCTTTTTTTCCTTGATTTCTTTACACCAGCCCATTCTTGACCATGAGTGTTTTTTCGTTCTAGCCATATGACACCAAGGACGCTTCAATATCAATATCTTGTCAATGCAGGCGCAGCAAGGTAGAAACAGTCTCCTTCGACATTTCTGTCAGGCAGTAAAGGATTAAAATGGTACCAAGGCTGGCATGGGGGAACTCAATGCTTTATCTCTAGGAAAGTGCTAAGAATTTTATTTTTAAGGTCGTGGACTTCTAAAGAGATGAAAGGGCATTCATGTCTCTTTTCAAACCGATTTCAATTGTACAAGTTTATGAAAAGGAACGTGAGTAAGTGTCAGTGTTCATAAGCTCAATTGTGTATTTAAGCAGCTATACTGCCAACAATACAAGAAGCACTTGCACAAGACTCTCCCGAGATTCTCTGCTTTTTTGTTTTATGGACAAAATGGAACAAAATGCAACTCTTAATATCTCAAATAAAAATCTAAGTTTGAGAATTTAACAGGAAACAGCCAATATTGGCTGGAAAAAAATTCTGGGGAAAAAAAGGATGCGAGAAAAACTTCCAACTTCAACTAATCTCTTGAGAATTTGTAATATTGCTACCTGGCTGTGCAATGCTGCAACTCCTTCTAAGGTTAGCAGTGAGCCACAAATATATGTTTTAAAACATGGACATCCAACAGCCTGAGAAAAAGTCTATGTAAATATTGGTAATAACCGAGAAATCAGTACGCTCTATAACAACAGACAGAAGATCTCCAATCAATGGGAAGCGTCATTGTTGTCTGAATAAAAGCAAAAAGGCCTTCTGATACTATTAAATACATGGAAGGAGGGGGGGAATGAAGTATCAAATGTCTATAATTGCTGCACCCTTAGCATTCAGTGTGCAACTGCGAACGCAAGGAAAGAAACCAGTGTACAGTACTAGTACTGTTTAAATAACACACAAGACTATACATTGCAGCATAATTAATACTACACACACACATCCTCAGTACATGCTGGTATATAAGTACTCTCGCGCACGGCCTTTCAACCCCGTCCTCACTTCCGCATACACACACAGAGACACCCTGCGATCAACGCACCCCACCCACACAGTTTATTCCCACTCACAGTATTTGAAGGCTCTATATAAGGTAGATTGCTATATTGTTTGGAGCTACCACTTTTTTTTAATATAAAAGCACATGCTAGAAGATCACGTTCCACTGTAATCTCGCAGCAACACTCGGAATGATCACACAAAAACCAGGGAATGTTAGTGCACACACGAAATTAAGCTAAAAGGAAAAAAAATATTCTTTGGAGTTCCAATCACACAGTTAGTATAACAATCCCATAATTGTGAAGACTAATTATAAGCTTTATAGTTGATTAAATCACACAGTGCAAAGAAAGGTCCATTGACCCTTTTGTAGAAGGGAAGGCTGGAAGCCACACGGTTTAAGTTCAATGGAGAGTTCATATATATATATACACATGTGACTAGGAACACCCAAAGGAGAATTGTGCTCTTAGGCCGGTCATTCTGAATCACGATGCACTTCTGAGGCATCCGCTCTGCAGATAGGGCAGGTACGATTTGCCTAGGAAATAAAAGTAAACAAAGACAGCGTTTATGCAACTGCTGGAGGTACAATCACACTGTATATGTATAAACTAAGAAAAATATGCCATTTTTTAAAACAGGGGTATCAAACTAATTTTCATCAAGGTCCACATTAGCCTTAGGGTTATTTTCAAAGAGTTGTTGAATCCATGGACAGAGAATCTGTGGATATAATTTTTATATAGTGGTCAGTGCATTTCAGTTTTTGCCCAATTTGAGTGCCCAGATGTTAGTGAACAGCAACTCCCATCACTGTCGATTATCCGCAATTAATAATAATAATGGGTTACTGTAGGTTTTTCTGGGTTATATGGCCATATTCTAGAGGCATTTTCTCCTGACGTTTCGCCTGCATCTATGGCAAGCATCCTTAGAGGTAGTGAGGTCTGTTGGAAGTAGGAAAATGGGTTTATATATATGTGTAATGACCAGGGTGAGACAAAGGACTCTTGACTGCTGGAGCTAGGTGTGAATGTTTCAACCCATTTCCCTACTTCCAACAGACTTCACTACCTCTGAGGATGCTTGCCATAGATGCAGGCGAAACGTCAGGAGAAAATGCCTCTAGAACATGGGCATATAACCCAGAAAAACCTACAACAACCAAGTGATTCCGGCCATGAAAGCCTTCGACAATACATAATAATAATAATAATAATACTTTTACCAATTTTAATTGTTTTACATAAACAGAACCTCTAAAAACTTCCTGGTTTTACAGGAAAAACAAGAAGAAACTAGCAACAGCTAGACTTTAATATATTTTGCCTTCTCCATAGTTTTAAGTAAACATCCCTACAAAATGAACAGAGAAATATAAAATTAGGATACTATAGTCCCCTCCCCCCCACTAAAATGTAATATTACCTTCAGCCATTTATCAACACACTTGGCATGGAACTCATGGTTACACGGTAAAACTCTAAGTAGTTGCCTCGACTCAAAGTCGCACATGCACACTACACACCTAGAAGAAAGAAGATGAAACATCATATTGGGCAAGAATAGCTTCATTAAAAATCCCTGTGAATATAGCCACCTTTTCTATGGAGATTTGTGCAAGCACGACATAAATACAATACATTTAACTGAAGTTCAAAAACCAATGGAGCAGTACTAGGAATGTGAAGCCCCTGGTGTGCTGGCAGAACTGCTGACTGATAGGTCAGCGGTTCGAATCTAGGGAGAGCGGGTTGAGCTCCCTCTGTCAGCTCCAGCTCCCCATGCAGGGACATGAGAGAAGCCTCCCACAAGGATGGTAAAACATCCAGGCGTCTCCTGGGCAACATCATTACAGATGGCCAATTCTCTCACACCAGAAGCAACTTGCAGTTTCTCAAGTCGCTCCTGACATTAAAAAAAGTACTAGCAACAAAATTATTAACAGCTCCAGCCTACATCGTTTTCTGGTAAGCATGATTACTGATTTAGTGCTCTGAGTATTCAAAGCACTTCACATATTTCACTTTAGCAATCCTTTTATCATTTTGTTAAATAATAAACTTCTACCTTATCTCCCGGATCCCCTTCCTGATATTTTACACTGCCCTATTTCCCAGTGTTTTAAAATTTTAATCTTTGAACTGGCCCTGCCCACTGTGATCATTTTCAGTGGTTTAATGTTTTGATTTTATATTGTTTTCTTGCATATTTACACTGGTTTTGTATTTTATGTTATTTTATTTTCTGATTTTCTGTTGTGTTTTTGTGTTGTATTGTGTTTTCTGTATTGATGGGCGTGGCCTCATGTAAGCCGCCCCGAGTCCCCTTTGGGGAGATGGTGGCAGGGTATAAATAAAGACTATTATTATTATTATTATTATGTAGGCAAAGGAAGACCCAATGATTTGGCAAATATCAGGGGTACTGGCCATCTGTAAGGGGTACTCTGAATATGCTTTTCCTGCATGGCAGGGGGTTGGACTAGATGGGCCATGTGATCTCTTCCAACTCTATGATCACAGAGTAAGTTCACAGATGCAATGACATCTAAATAGCCGATTTTCCAGCTCTGAAAATCAACACCAATTTATTAGCAAGGCAAGTCTTCTTTGCTTCTTCCAGGAGCAAAGATTGCACACTATGTAAGATTATTTTGTAATTAAATTTGATTAATCAAATACAGAAATAACAATAAAGCTGTATTTTGTAGAAAAAAGCAGCAGGCATATCTGACAACTGTATAGCTTCAGAAAGGAAGGCTGCTATGTTTACTGCAAGGCTTCTTAAACTTTTTCCACTCATGACCCCTTTCAGCCTGAGAAATTTTTAGGGAACCTCAGGTATATAAGTATATAAAATAGGTATAAAAATAAAAAAATTACTGATAATAAATCAGGACAGCTGAAGCTTCTTCAGCAGAACACATTACACAACAAATTTGCGTAAATGTCTAAAACAACCACTAGATGGCAATCAGAAACCCCTTAATGTTGCCAGATATTTTCATGACCCCAACACTGAGCTAAAGGGAGCCTCTTTGGGGTCAGGACCCACAGTTTAAGAAGTAGTGGTGTAGGCCATGCTTTGCTTCTCTTGTATTAAACTAAGTGGCAATATTAGTTCTATGTCATGAATGTTTTTTGAGCACACTTTCCAAGTGATAAGAACTAGTCTCCTGAGAACCAGTTCCTCTAATTATCTTCTAAACCACAACAATCCAAGGCAGAGCTGAGGCAAATTCATTTGCCTTTCACATTCAGAATAGATAAAACAGCCAAAGACCCCCCAAAACACATCAAAATTATTTCTTGCACATTCCCTAAGTTTTGTGAGTTTTTTGTGAAAGTTTTGTAAAAAAAATAAAACTTCTTCAGTGTTTTGCAAAATATTTTCTGACTGGAAACAGCACATTTTTGTGTGCACAGTGGCTACAATTCAAACAAACTCATATTTATTGGACTTTATTAGAACTTTTCTCTCTCAAAAATAAACAATCTACTGCAGAATGCAAAGGAAGTGTATAACTTTTAATCCTGAAGCAGAGTGAGGGAAAGGCTGTTAAATGTTTTTTATATGTTGTACACCCTCCCTGTGGACATCAGACAGGCGCCCTCCCTTATGTCCTTCCGAAGAAGCCTAAAGACATGGCTATTTGAGCAGGCGTTCAACTAAGTGCTATAGTAACTAATGATGACGAATGGAACGGAATATGGAATATGAGATTGGCTTTGCGATTCTATGACACGACGACGCGGATGATTTAGAGTAATTATTGTGGTATTATTAATGTGAAATGTTTATTATGTGTACGAGGATTTTTGTAAACTGTTTTTTATATGTTGTACACCGCCGTGAGTCGCCCTAATGGGCTGAGAACGGCGGTTAACAAATGAAATAAATAAATAAATAAATAAATTAAAAAGCAAAAACTTCCCTACTGCCTCAATATAACCCTAGTAATGCTACAGGGAGACAATGAGGGAACAGTCACTAAACTACATCTATAACGTTCAAAGTAGTGGTGCAGTCCATTCAAACTGTGATTTTAGCCTAATAAGGACAAATTGTAAATGTATCTTCACTACTAACGTTTACGAAAAACCTTACTTTCCAAGGTGATTTAGCATCTAAACTATGAAGTACACTGAAGAATGCAAATTAATTTTTAGACATTAGAATTACTAATTATACTGGGTTTTATATGAAGCCTCAAGAAGGGGAAGAAATCAGCTTGGGTCCTTCTGTGGACTTTTGCTTGAATCCTAAACAAAGGACCTTTCCATCTTCTTGGCTGTGGAGATCTATCTATCTATCTATCTATCTATCTATCTATCTATCTATCTATCTATCTACCTACCTACCTACCTACCTACCTACCTACCTACCTACCTACCTATCTGGCAGCATATAGCAACTGGACATCACTTTTAAGGATCGAGCAATGCCTTACTGGTTTTATTTCCCTTTTTAAGAACTGTTCTGCTTCCTGTATTGAGTGGCTGATGACAGAAGGACACAAGTTTGACAAGAATAATTGGGGGGGGGGGGGGAAGGAAGGGGGAGAAATACTCACAAAGTCTGTTCCGATTGATGGTTATTTGGGTTAAACCTATAGGATGGAAGTTGTTCAATATCTGCCTTTGTCAGTCCTCTTGGTTTGGCCTCTCCCAGTCTTTCTGCCAAGTTTAGCAGCGCCTGTAAAGAAAAGTAATATTTTAAAACATAACCTATTAACTCCAATATTATTAATAATAACAACATTGTTTATTTCTTTATTACCCGCCTCTCTTTTTGGCTCGAGGTGAGACACAACATAATTAAAGACATATTAAAACATAATTAAATACAACCATAGAAACATATATTAAACATACAAATATCAAAACACAAAAACAATAGCTTTTTAGGGATGATCAACATGCCAGAATTATGCAAACCAAGAGATTAGGCCAATTTGAATAATTTATATTGGATTTAGCTGTTCTTGGTAGAATGGCTTGGCAGTAGAAACACAACCTAATAAGATGTTGCATGCCGCAATGTATAACATTCTTTAATGAAGATCAAAGAACATTTTAAGACCTTTTAAGCAAACTGTAATTTTTCAATAAATGCAACGATTACTTTTCATTGCAGGACTGTACTTTAAGTTGAGTAACTGTAGCATCCCACTACACCACTAACATTCGCAGTGGTAGGGCTGTCTGAGCCTTTTATGCTGTTAAGGCCAGTTCTATAGGGTGGGGCATAACAATCTCCTCTATTTCAAGGGGGCACTGTGTGGGCTTTAGTGGGGATAGAGAGGTGAGGTAGGTCTAAATGTGTAGGTTAGGCTTTTTGGATTATGTGATTTTAATATTTATATTAGGATATTTTAACGCTTTTTAAATGCTTAAATGTTGTTTATCTCTCACGTTTTAATGATTTTAATGATTTCAATTTATAGTTATAGGTTAGTGTTAGTTATTGTGATTTTTTTCTGTCTATCTTTATGTTGGGCATTGAATCTTGCCATTATTGTTGTAAACCGCCTTGACCCCCCCCCCCCCCCCCCCCCCCCCCCCCGGGGTGTGTGTGGTGAAAAAGACGGTATATAAATATAATAAATAAATATAGTAAATAGGCTTTGCTGTTTACAGTACTCATCATGAGTTGGACTTGTGAACATCAGGGCTTTGTTGTTCAAGTGTATTATGAGAACAACCATTCTCTTCGTGTTCAGTCGAAATGCAGTTTACTATGCATTTATAATCTTTGGGCAACTGGATGCATACTGAAAAGAAAATCCCTGTCAGAAAATGTTGAAGCAAAGAGCATCCAGTCAGCAATTGCAAGGCATTCCACTCATAAACATGTCATGGTATTGAGGATATCAGGTCTGAGTGGGAGGATGCTGAACGTTGAGTGAAAACTGCATCTTTACTAGAAATGGGAAAAACCCTGGAAAAATTAGGAAACAATTTCTTTCCAGAAAAATTGAAACGTGTGTAGGACATGTTATTTTCCAATGATAAATATTATACCTATGACATGGTATTCAAACTATATAACATAAAGAGCTTAATGAAACATTTCTGAGACTTTTTGTTTTTACACACTCCCCCCCCCATTTTTGGGGGGGGGGAATGGCTTTGGAAAGAAATGGGGGAAAAACTGTTTTTCCCCTCCATTTTTCCATTTTCCCCCATGCTTTCCCATCTATAATTTTTATAAAATGATTTTTCTGATATGAGTTTGAAAACCCATCATAACAAAACTTTTCTTATGGAATTTTCAGAAATATATGCATTGTTTTCTAGATAGCTTCGTTCAATTTTATTGCCCCTTCAAAATGTGCAAAATCTTTGATGTCCCACCCTGCACTCTGGACATATCAGGAGAGGATATGATTCACTAAAAATATAATAATGCTTGGCAAAGTGGGGGACATTAAGAAAAGAACAAGTCTGCATCGCAGGTGGTTAGACCCAATAAAGGAAGCCGGAGCCCTGAGTCTGTAAGACTGCAGCCAGTTTGTTGGCGACAGCATGCTTTCAAGGTCTCTCATTCATAGGGTTGCCATAAGATGAAGTCTGGTTGATGGCAATTAACAAGCTACAAATGGCCAATGCCTAAGGAATTAGAAATAAGTTCACACAAGCAATTTTCTCTTCCTCTTACACGCCCTACAGTTGCCTGTACTTCCAATACATTCATTCTAGAAGGTTAGGTGGCCTTCCTGAACCGTGAGATCTGTTATATATGTGGTTTATTTATTTATTTACTGTATTTATATACTGCCTTTCTCACCCCTGGAGCGACTCAAGATGGTTTACAACATACTAATGGGGAAAATTCAACGGTAACATACAGTACATAAAGAAATCGTAATAACTAATTACTACATATAAGTGTGAACTTAAAATCAATTTAAGCCATTAAACACAAGACATACATAAAATCTAAATATTCAGACAAAGCATAAAATCATCCTAGTATAAACATTAAAATCCCATGATCCAGAAATCGTATACCATAGCCATTATGAATGGTCACTGCACATGTTCCTTAATTATTCTTTGTACTACATTATTCATTAACAAAGGTTGAAGTGGGATTGCCCTAAATCATGAGCAAAAAACTCCTGCCACCCAATTTCACATCCCTTCTTGCACTGCAGCTTCATACAATAAAGTTCCCACTATTCAACAAGAGAACATGACTTCATTGGGGAAAAGCAGAAAGCAAGCGACCAACTAAAAAGGCTACTGTTCATCCTAAAGTTCAACGGCATCAACTGACCTCATAGTTTTCGACTTCACCATCTTCTACATCCAGCTCAAAACTGAAGGCTGGCCCCACTGCAGGTGGTACAGGAAGCATTGATCTGTGGAAAGAGTGAGCCAGCATGATGATTTAGTGTAAGTCAAAGAAATAGGGGGAAAATCAATTGCTTTACCTTTGGACCTTTGCCTGTGGTCTTTTAAAACTAATCAAGCATTTGAATTTTATTCCAATCAATAGAAAGGCATACTACAAATTCATCAGTTCACAAATACAGTTAGATTAGTTCTCCTTCCACTTTACATACGTTTATCCTTCTCAGGTACCACAAAAGACTTGACATCTGCATTAAATCTGTTGACCCCTTTGCAGGCTGGGCTACATATAACTTTTCTTGGCAAAATGATGTTATCTATTGTAAAGGTATGAAAAAGGGCTGTAAAGGACAGGAATTGTGTCACTCTCTTGGCATGTGTAGATCCTGTTCATATAAATATAAAATATGTTCATATAAATATAAAACCATGCCCTCCCCCAAATATATTGGTGGTTTGGTCTGGGGGGAAGGTAGGGCTATCACCAGACAATTGGAAATCTGCTTTAAAAAATGACCAGAAATTATCCAAATATCCCTCTCAGGAAATTGTAGGTTTTGGCCTGCATGTGGTCACGAGATTCCAAAGCTGGGTCTCTCACCACGTTCCCAACAAGTCATTAAAACATAACATACTTACAGCACATATGGCAAAAGGCTAGGGTGGTATGGGGGTGGCGGTATTGGCTGCTGGGACCGGTATCGGCTGCGTCCTGTAAGTCTTCGAGGCATAAAAGGTGGATAAGGCTAAAAAAAGCAGTGGAAAGTGTATTTTAGTAGAATGACAGCTTAGTACAATGTACACTTGTTTTGTTTATGTAGCACTTGACTAGTCAGACTTTCAGATGCAAAAAAGTTTTTACCAAAGGTAAAAACTTAGGTATCCTGACTTTCAGAAATGAATGAATTAAATACGTTGCATAAACATTCTCAAATTCTGTGAGACACAAGATTTCCAAAAGTTAGAAGCCACGTGTATTAATGTGATTCTAATCACTACAGACATTACTTTTGCAATGAAAAAGAATCTGAATGTATGCAGGAAGTGGAATTGATAAAAAGTAAATAATAATAATAATAATAATAATAATAATAATAATAATAATGTAATAAACTTTATTTATATCCCGCCACCATCTCCCAAAAGAGACTCGGGCAGCTTGCAAGGCATTAGAAGTGTAGTATATAACTTAAACAGTACATTAGTATAAAAACAATATCACATAAATTTATAAAAACAACCACTATAACACTTCAAATAAAATAAAAACACAGTTTAAAATGTAGACCAGGGGTCCTGAAACTAAGGCCTGGGGGCCGAATACAGCCCCCCAAGGTCATTTACCCGGCCCTTGCTCAGGGTCAACCTAAGTCTGAAACAACTTGAAAGCACACAACAACAATAACAATCCTATCTCATTAGCCAAAAGCAGGCCCACACTTCCCATTGAAATACTAATAAATTTATATTTGTTAAAATTGTTCATTTTAATTATTGCACTGTCTTTAAGGTTTTTTTTTTTTTTGCACTACAAATAAGATATGTGCAATGTGATAGGAATTCATTCACTTTTTTTTAAATTATAATCCGGCCCTCCAACAACTTGAGGGACTGTGACCTGGCCCTCTGTTTAAAAAGTTTGAGGACCCCTGATGTAGACCATCTGTTGTTAAAACTAGCTTCCTTCAAATCACAACTAAAGTGCCAAAGTGTCAACCTCATGTGCAGAATTGACTGAATATAAAATGCCAAAAGTCATGACTTACTACTCCAAAGGACACCTCTTGGTGTAAAGGGTCGTGTGTTAAGAACTGGAGAGGGGTCGAGGGAGGCAATGTTGGTGGATGGGCTGAAGGCGGATAGGTAAAACCTCCAACAGGAAGGTGGTCTCCAAGCAACTCTACCTCATTTTCTATCCTTTGAAGAGGCTAAAGAAAAACAAATACAAACCAGGCTACGTTTAAACATTGGTAATATATTATTTACTACTGTAACTGAAAAACAAATGAACAAACCCAGTACATAGTACATATGTGTCCATGCAATCTACTGTTTCTAAATTAAAATGAAAATCATTTACGCATGGGAAAATAAATAATTACTTATTTTTCTAAGTTTAATGAACCTATTCCAATTCTTCATACATGTATTTAACTGTAATGAAACATGTGCCACATTTCTTCAATTGTAAGATGCCATTGATTGTAAGACACACCCTAATTTCAGTATCACCACCACCAAAAATATATAAGATACACCTGCAACTCTAAGACATGCATCATTTTTAGAGATTTTTATACAGAGAAAAACTGCATCATAGAATTGGAGAAATACAGTATTGCTTATTTTAGTATCAGGAAGATGTTTTGCATACAGTATGACACATCTCCCCTGCACTTTTTCCAGTATTTATATCTGTAAGTTACATATAACACATTGATATCAGTGTATTCTGAAATAAAATGACCTTTCCTACCCTTAGGATGAGACACTCAGAGAGGTATATTTATGCACCAGAGTTCACTGTAAAATCAGGCTGAAAAAGCCTTCTCCACTTCAAAACAACTCTAGCTGCCTATCCTGTTATTTGCTAGATTTCTAATGATATGCACCTGCCTGGAAAACCTGGAAATCTTATCCTACATAAAAATGTATTGTAACCTCTCAACCAAATTGTAATGATTTCTGAATGGTTTGAAAGCTGAAGAGATATGCAACAGGCACATTATCATTCATGTAATTCCCCATATGATCCCAGGGCAGCCAAACACCTCTTTAGCTTTAAGCACATGTATGCGTGGGAAAATATATTTAAAGATACTTACCGACCGTGACTGCTGTGTTTGAAAGGGAACAAACTGGCCTGGAGGTGGCAAGTGTGGGGCATGATGCGGAGAGAGATGAGGAGGATGCAAAAGAAATGGATCACTAGAAAGAAGGGGTGGGAAAGCTGCATATGGAACAGGCAGGTGTTGAACAGAACACGCCTGAAGCATCTGCAAAAAAGAAGAGAAATATTCACAACCTTTATGTAATGTATAAGACTTGAATGTTCTTATCACTGTAAAGGGACATCGGAATAAAACAACACATGATTTATTTACACAGCAAAGTACAGTTACCAACAGAAGATCTGACACTCCCCAAGACTTGCAAAACAAAATAAATTATGCAAAGTAAAAGAAAAAACCCACTGGAACAGTATAGAGAATGCTTGGAAGAGAATTCAGGTTACATGGTGTTATGAATCTTTTTTTTTAAAATAAAATAAAATAAAATCACCTAAGTATAGTCTCCCCTCCCTCTGGTTTCAATATTGTTGCTTTCTGTTTAAAATATGCCAATGTTTCCACATAGGGTCAGCTGAAACACTGGGTACTTGCAATAAAGACTTCTTCAGGTCAGATGTGAATGAGTCATTAAGAATGATGGGTTAGGTCAATATAAGCAACTTTCAGGAAAAAGTTATAACAGGCATAATGGATCAACTAATCTGGACCTACTCGAGTTTGCACACTACCCAAATCACCAAATCTACCACTAATACTTCAGCTATTAAATTATCGCTTTTAAAAAGAATTCTATCTCCAGAACACTTCAAAACGCACACTCCTCAGTAAAAACAAGGCATTCCCCACATGTTAAAAAATATGTTGGCTGCTACCAAACTTGTTGTCTAATGGCAAAAACTGTGACTTTTAAACACACAAACAAGGCAAGCTAGGATATACACCTTTCTTGAACTCTAAAAATTAGGCATATGCTTGTGTCTTGTTTACATGTGACTGAAGCAGAGACGTTGCCACAGTTGTAGAATACTTAGTGATGCAAACCCTGAGCACAATAACAATAGTCAAGATGCATCTCCACATTTACACACCATTTAGATCCTGCTACCACCAAGAAGTCATGCATCTTATGACCATGAGGTGCTTTATTCCTAGTAATAGCAATCAGAAATGTGTTTGCCACAACATCTGCATAAACTATAGTCGGGATAAGAATACTGACAAAGAACGGCTTTCAACTGACAAGTGGGCCAGATAAAGCCACATTTTATCATCCTATACATGCAACATATCATATAGAAAGTGTGGTTAGATGGGAAAGGAAATGCAGAAATTGGAGGTTGACTGGTAATTTAAAATAACGCAGATTAACACCATATTACTATCAGAAGCAAGGATTTTGGAATGGTACTGAGAAAAGTTAAACATGTGCAAAAGCAGGATTAGAGGCGAGTATCAAGAAAACAGCAATAATGGCTACAGACTGTATCTCCACATCACTTAATAGTGAATGATAAGAAGAAAGTATCCATTAGCAATTCAGTGCTGGAGCAGAATTCTATAGATGCCATAGATTACCAAAAACACAAAGAAAGATGTCTGAGAGCACATCAAGCCACTTGATCAACCACATTAAGAGCACATCAAGCACTAAACTGACGAAACTGAACTAACATACTATAACCTTGAGAGATGACATGGCTTACTGAAAAATGCTAATTCTCAATATCTAAGCTAATCTTCCAACTATATTGGGCCATACTCTTCTGGCAGAATTCTTTTGCCAAAACGCAGCCTCTGTGGAGACATCAATATTAATAAGTGCCATGGATGGTCTATGGAGCCACCCTGCAAATTTTGTGCTAAATGCCATCCTGTGCTGTCATATAAACACACACTGCACTCTAGCATCCAACAGTTGACACCATCGCAATAAGCACTCCTACTTGGCAGGCTGAGCAGGACTGGATTATAATATGCCATCTCTTTATTCCTGAGTAAGTGGAAGAGCAAATTCCACCTGCATCATGGTAACTTTGTTCAGAGAGCAATGGCAAGGGATACAAATACACAACTGGGGGTCAGGTAAAAAGAAGAATACTCTTTTTAAAAGCAAGGTTAGATGTAAAAAGAAATAAATTTAAAAATATTGAAGGCATTATATAGCAAAGGAGCTGCTGAACGATAAAAAGACAAACTTAAAGAGAGAGAGCAAGCCAGATAAAAAGCTCTCCCCTTGATGAAGGCAAAGATTTACAGGAGAGGTTGAAGAAACCACAACTACAGCAAAACCCATTATTATTTTCAGGCATGAGATACCTCTCTTCCTTAGTAGGAGGACTTTTATCCATTCTTTTGGATGCCTCTTTCCTATCAGACAGGACAGATCCTTAAAATTTTGGCTTCAAAATAACAGTTGGTCAGTAGTACAGAAATTCCCTTCTCCTCTAAGTTATTAAAAATTGTAATTAAAAACCACGGGGTGTATATTCCAATGTTATGTATATATCACTTCCAACACACAATATAGCTACTGGGAATAAAACTCACACACTGTTCTTATATTTGTGGAATAGACAATAAAAAACATTTCAGTTGTGACCCGAAGACCAACATCCATTGAGAAATACAGGCAGTCTCTGAGTTACAAACAACCAATTTACAAATGTCTCATAGTTAAGAATGTAGATGAGACAACAGTAAGTGAGAGAAAACTACCTTTTGGAAGCAAACTACCCTAAAACTACCCTAAATTAATTCCTGAAAGAGTTATCATGGGGAAAAGGTGCCTCCATTGAGGCTTTCTTACCAATCCTTGTTTCCACAACAAGCCAAATTTTTCAAAATCTTATTCTCACAGGGACAGAAAGTGAGGTGAAATCTTCTAAACAGGGACACAGACAGCAAAATAAACACCACAGGGGTATTAACTCTTCCCTATGCTATCCAAAGCTTATATATATTGATTGGTTGGAGTTACACTTAAGAAATGTACCTTTTCCAACTTATAGACAAATTCAACTTAAGAATAAACCTACATAACCTATCTTGTTTGTAACTTGAGGATATTCTGTACTTAGAAATAAGTCCCAGTGACTCTAGTGTGGCTTATGATCAAACAAAAAATACAGATATATTCCATTGTAGATCTCCAAAGTCATCTGAATTCTTTGTCACCAAAATTAAGATTCGGGAACCACTTACTGGGGGAGGCACACTGCAGACAGGGAGATGCTGTCCACTGAAGACCACAGAACATCCTGGGACTTGCTGTGTGTTGCAAGCTGGTATGTGCTGACCTGTGCAAAGTGGAATCCCATGTGGCGCCACGGTGGTCACTGTATACGAAACAGGCACTGTGCCCTGGTGAATCTGTGTGAATGGCAGCAAGAAGCTTTCAGTAGTTCAAAACCAAAAGATACATTTTTTCAATTTAAAAGACATAAAAGCTGCTGAGACAAATGGGTTCTAGTTATCGACAAGTGCACTATGCTCGAGTTGGTACACTGCTCAAATTCACCAGTAATTGTTTTCAAATGGCCATGCATCTTTCTCTGTAGTCAATTAATGCAAAGTATTTCATGGATGCATCTACACTGCATCTACATTAATTCAGTTTGACACCACTTTACTGCCATGGCTCAATATTGTGGAATAATGGGATTTCTAGTTTGTGAAGCAAACCACAAAGAATGCTAAATAACCTTGTAAAACTACAACTCCTACCATTTCATAGCACTGGGCCATGGTAGTTTATTCTACAGTGTAGATGCACTCAGTTTTTTCCCTTTTCAAAACTGATTTTAATAAATCAATAGCCCCGATAGAAACAGTGAGATTCCGATTTGTCCTGCAAGGGATTTATACAAATACTCCTATCTGCAGGATCCCTGAACAGGAATGTGGGTATCAGAAAGAAGCAGGATTTCAACATACAATATAGGTTTCCCAACTATTAGTGGAACAGATTCAAAGTAAGCCCAACTTTACTAAAACTGTCATGTTGAGGAGGAGCTTCTGTGGTGTTATGTATGAAGGGCTAAAGGCTTTATTATTTATTTATAATCTTTATTGAAAATTTTCCTTAAAATAAATTAAAATCTTTGAAAGGGGAAAAAATAGAAAGAAAGAGAAGGGAAAGGAAATGAAGGGCTAAAGGCTTTAGAGGATACTTTTTATATTCAGTTTGTATTGTGAATCTTACAGTTTGAATAATCTTGCGCCTTAAAATATCTGTTATAATTTTTTGGATGAGTCTAATGCTAAGCAAACTACTCTTTCAACAAGTCTTATTTTTTTTACAAAGGCAACTTTAAATATATTTAAAGACTGTAAGAAACACCAAGGATCCAACTTCTTTAATGCTTAAGCATCTTCCGCTGAGATTAGATAATCTCTGCATCAAGGGCAATGAGATTTGTCTGTGTTGACATGAAGAATAACTGAAAAGAGTCTCTGGAAGCACACCTAGAACAGCAACTCACACATAATCATATGGAATATCTTCTCCTACAATAACCAGTCCATTTTAGTTTGAGTAATTTGAAAACACATTTTGGGTATTTAACAGTGAAACATAGTCTCTAGTTGTAAATGAGAAGGCAACACTTTGGCCTACAAGGAATTTGGAAAACATGCTCCTATATTTCACTGTACCTGCTCATGTATGTCAACCATCACTGCATTCTGCTGTGGTGGATGAGCAGCCGGGTGCAACATGCGGGGAGATACATTCGGTGGATGGAAGGCTCGGGGTTCTTCTATTGCTTGTTGCTGTCCATAGGGAAGATGGTAGTTTTCATCTTGACTAATGGAATTATGTCGAGACAATCGATCTCTTCTTGTTCTCTGGCGTCTGACGGGAGGGCTGCAAATAATCAAATTGGACAAGGTCTTTTTTCCCCTGAAACACACACAGCAGAACTTCCCTTTTAAAAATAAATTTTAGATCTGATGTTTCATTCCTGTGTTCTTAAACTCACACAGAAAATCCTAGATACATTTACACCATTTGCGCATGGTAGAAACAGAAGAATGGAAAGCATATGGTAGCTGCTCAGAAAAATCGCTTGGTAGTTATAGCCAAATGTGGATTAGGCAGACATCTGCAGCTTCCAGCCTCTTGATAATGGCAAAGCTGCCAGACATCTCCTACTTCCTTTGATTACTCTGCAGTTACATATTCTCAAATAGAACGTAACACATGAGTCAGAGGCCAGATAACTGTGATAATAGCTTCCAGATGGAAAACTTAAAAGTGTCCACTGCGACAAATTTGCCATTTTACTGCTTTACAAAGTTAAAACATTGATTCTTTCAAAAATTTTGTTTTCTGACGTTTGGACTCGTGGAAAGGAAACATACAGTAAAGTTTCAAATTCTTAGCCTTATTCCAGATCACCTCTATAGTCACTATATTTTCTGATGCTTTAGAGCAGTGGTTCTCAACCTTCCTAATGCCATGACTCCTTAATACAGTTCCTCATATTGTGGTGACCCCCAACCATAACATTATTTTCATTGCTACTTAATAATAGTAATTTTGCTACTGTTATGAATTGTAATGTAAATATCTGATATGCAGGATGCATTTTCATTCACTGGACCAAATTTGGCACAAATACCTGATACGCCCAAATTTGAATACTGGTGGGGTTAGGGGGCAGAAATTACTGGAAGGGTTTGGTGGGCATTGACTTTGGAGTTGTAGTTCACCTACATTCAGAGAACACTGTGAATTCAAACAATGATGGATCTGGACCAAACTTTGCACGGATACTCAATATGTGCAAATGTGAACACTGATGGATTTTAGGGAAAATAGATCTTGACATTTGGCAGTTGTAGTTGCTGAGATTTATAGTTCACCTACAAGCAAAGCGCATTATGAACCACACCAATGATAGAATTGAGCCAAGCTTCCCACACAGAACAAAAACACATGACAAAAAGAAAATACACTGTTTTCTTATGGTCTTTGGCAACCCCTCTGACATCCCCTCGCAACCCCCTCAGGGGTTAAGAAACGCTGCTTTTGAGACTAGGACTTGAAGCAATAGGTTCAAATTACAGGAAAGGTGATTCCACCTGAATATTAAGAAGAACTTCCTGACCATGAGAGCTGTTGAACACACCGCCCTGGAGTATGGTGGAAGCTCCTTCCTTGGAGACTTTTAGATAGAAACTGGGTGGCCATCTGTGATGGGTACTTTAGGTTGTCCTTTACTCTATGAAACTCATATAAATCTTCATGAGTACTACAGTGTAGGTTACATATCTAAACAAAAAGTGGTAAAGTCACACCAATAAACAACTTGAGAGCACCTCCAAGAAACCAAGCAAAGCAAAGAGGTTAAGAAGAGGAAACAGCACATCTTGATTTTAGTAAGTGTAGTCTAAGTGCATTATGAGAAACTTGTAACTCAACAACTACAAAAATGGTCAAGAGGTTCATCTTTCTGCCCCTAGCAACATTTCCATTAGAAAATGAGCCATCTTCACTAGAAAATGGGCTATTTCCAAACCCAGAAAAAGCTCTTAAAAGGAAATGAGAAGGGACAGCCCTGGTTTTCTGGAAATTGTCCACCAATGGATTGTGAAGACATGAGTCCAGGGCCTTGACTCAACTCTAAACCAAGTAATCTTTGCAGTCATTACATCTCATTTACTCACAATGAATTTATTGGAGAAGGGAGTAGGAGACAAATATGAGTAGACAATGGTTCTTGATGATTAGAAGTGTTAAGAGAGAAGGCTCCCCTTTCACCAGTTTTTAGAGCTGAACACTATAAAGATAATATTACATAGGTTTCATTTCTATAGTCATAAAGGCCAGATATATATACTTTAAGAAAAAAAATGAGATGATTGAGATTCCCTTAGCTTCTAGAACTCCTAATAGCCAGCACAGTTTTAGATTACATACTGTGCCTCCCACAATAGTCACAGTAAGTTAGAGCCGCCGCAAACTAGCCTCCTGTGGGAGCAAACTGTGCCAGCACGTCCCTGACGTCATGAGACTGCGCCTCTCTCCCCGCCCCTTTCTCCGCCTCTTTCTCCGTGCCAGAGTGGTTTTTCCTTTGCTAGGCAGCATTGCCAGCGTACTCTCGTTGTTGGCAGAATTCAATGTTGGCAGAACTAGCAGGAGGCTAGTTTGCGACGGGTCTAACTGCTACTAAAAGTAGCCTTGCCCTGTGACATTGGTCTCCAGAAATTCACTGTTTTTGCATCCGACATCACTTTCTCAGTCAAACTCCTATGAACTTTCTGGAAAGCAGAAATATTGCTATCTCTTCCAAATAACAATTTAATGAACAAAATATATTTTACATTTGATTCTTTAAAAACCAAAACCAAAAACCAACAGCTTGATAGTTATGCAACTACAATGTTCAGTCAGGAAGACAGTGAATATCTACAACTTGCCTCCTTCTGTTGCGAGCAGGTGTGTTGCATCGTTCCCCTGAGAAGTGGTGTTGGCTTGGTCGAGCTGAAGGAGGCTGCCTATTTGATGTCATCTCCCATGGTCGCATTGGCGGCGATGGGGCTGGTGATGCTGCTGCGTAGTCAAAGACTGAATGAGAAAGGCGCTGTCTTTTGGGACTCGGACTATCTTCACTCTGTGTGACAATGTGAGAAAATAAATAAAAATCCACAAGTGGTAGGTATCTCAAACCAGCATTTAGAAAGGCTACCATTCCAGAACACTTTGCAAATGTGAAGTGGGCAATAAACATGTCTAATAAATACAATCAGAATTTAATAAAGTCTAGCCACTTTATTACTTCAATAATAGATTCTGGTTTACTGAACATCATTCCTACAGCTTTCTCTCTTATTGATTATTACTTTTCTTTCCAGTTCTGAAGAGGATTCGGTTAATAGGAGTGAAGGGAACAGAATATAAATGTATGAATGTTTGTCATGAGGAATAAGATTACCATTTTTTTTATTCTTCAAAATACATTTGCAAAGGAATAGCAATTATGTTGGTGAACTCTAGATTTGTAATTAAACAGTACAGTCAGACTGAATTCCAGTTCAACATGTGTGCTAACGACAAATAGATATATGCCACAACTAAGTTCAGGCCTCATAAGTAAGTTCCAGAACACCTCTTAGATATAACAACAACGCAAGCTGACAAGTATTTTTCATCAGATATAATTTTAGATATTCTTATAAAGTTTTTCGTGCTGAATTCAGATCTGTGTATAATTTTTTCCCTATCACGTGTAGTTTTTGCGATGAGGCTTATCAAATGATCAATGCATTTACACACTGATATCAATTGAATCTAATTGATATCAGTGCGTAAATGAATTGATTATTTGATTACCCTCATCACAAAACTATATGTTATAGAGGAAAAGTAAACACAGATCTGAATTTATCACAAAAAAACTCTATAAGAATGACATAAAATTGTATCAAATGAAAAATACTTGTTGGCTTGGTGTTAGTTAGAGTATATTGATATAAGTGCGTAAATGAATTAATTATTTAATTAGCGTCATCGCAAAAACTACACATGATAGAGAAAAAATAAACACCGTTCGGAATTCAGCACAAAAACTCTATAAGAACGATCTAAAATTACATCTAATGAAAAATACTTGTTGGCTTGTGTTACATGAATATGATCTGAAATGTGCAGACTACAGTAGTCCGCTGTAATGCACCATTTGTCATATTTAAAAAAGTTGACGTGATGGAAAAAATATAGACATATTTAAAATCAGCATAAAATTGATTTAAACTATGCTACTCTCATAATTACATAATTTTGATAATTACAAAAAGTTTGATCTTGTTGGCTTGTATAATTTTATATATTATCAGCACCTCCTCCTTGCTAATACAATATTGACATCACTAAAATATGCAAACTACATAGATATTTCATTCACCTCTAAGAGGTGGGTTTGTGCATCTGCTTTTAATGTTTAAAGACAAATGCAAAAAGTCCACACAACAAATGCAATCCATATTTTGGTCATGGTAATATGTAAGGTTATTTACCTCTGTTACAATTATCTAGTCTGCAAACATGGGACCTATATAATAACTGACGAAGGACCTATACCAATTATGTTCATACCACCACATTTTCTCACTTTCTTTTGATTTATTAAAAAGAAAATATTAGGATTAAAAGGATTAGGGGGAAACAACACAAAAAACAGGGCATGCCTTTTCACTGACATTTCAGACATGAAGCTCACTAGTTGATCCTGGCTGCTATATTACTAGTGAATTCAGTGTATTTTATCATAGAAGGTGAAAAATGTCCATTTCATAGACTGTGCTGCTTTCAACAGAGCTCCTAGATTTAGTGGCTTTCCCATCAAACATTATGCTATATAAGTGTGCTTTATATAGCTCAAAATAAAATTAAAGCAATTACAAAGGTTTTCCTAGGCTAGGCTACATAGGCTACATAGGCTACATAGGCTACATAGGCTACATAGGAGATGGAGAACTTCTCAGACCAGAAGGTTAGTTTAGATTACACAAACCATCTACCACCATCATACTGTCAAACTAACCACAAAGAGCAGAAATGTCCTTCAAAATTGATGTATGCGGAATATCTATCTTCCTTTAAAACAGAACTGCACTACCTGGTTGAAAGCAAGGCATTTTTTTCTCTCAACACCTTATTTTCAGAAGAAATCACACTTTTTTGGGGCAAGTTATGCTGCCGAAATTAATTCAGAATATAGAACACATCCTTAACATTATACACAAGGCATATTCAATACACTATGATGCTTATTATTTTTTAAAATATTTTTATTATTTTATCATACTTATTATTAAATAGAAAGAACTGTGAAAACTTGACTGTAGGTTGTGATGATGCCTGCCATAGATGCAGGTGGAACATCAGGAGAGAATGCTTCTAGAACATGGTCATACAGTCTGAAAAACTTACTGCAACCCAGTGATTCCATCCATGAAAGCCTTCGACAATACATTTAACTTTACTGTAATTTGTAAGATATAATGAATTTTGCCCTGCACTCAAACTGGAAAATCCATGTTAAAAGGAGACATGAATTTAGCCTTCATCGGCCACAGGAACCAATTTAAGAATCCAATATATTACAAGAGGTTTTTTTTTTTTTAGAGAAGAAGAGAGTTCCTATGTTTACAATGGACACATCTACAATTTTCAAGTTCAAAAGGCAAATTGCCTTAAGAAACAGTGAGAGGCAGAGTACTACTTTGAGTTCATGCCAAATCCCCAAGCTGTTTTTTGAACTCTGAGAATTTAAAGAATTAATCCTGCTGGGCTACTTTTCTATTTGAGGCAACATTTGATCTAGAATACAACTTCTCCCAAGAATTTTGACACACCTAATTTTTCCTCTGATATAGCCAAACACACACACATACACCACAAAGTTTGGCAGACGATAGGTTGGGCTGCTTCTCTTGTCAGTATGAAGTCCCTATGCATGGCAACTGTCTAACTATAGCTCTCAACAGCTTTAAGTGGCAAAAGTAGTACAACAGAGAAAGACACAAGGTGGCAATAGCCCTCACCACTGACTGTTGCTAAATCTTTACTTTATAACAGGCTCACTATAAAGAGAAACAATCAAAAGAAGTGATGCCGGGTAGAAACATAGAAATGGCACTTTAGGTCCAAAGAACCCTTCTTCCCCATTAAGTTTATTCACCTCCTGGCTGACCAAGCAGTTCTCATAAAAACTATAAAACAGTGAGTAATGATGTCATAACACATCAACTGAAACCATCAGTCGAGAATTTCAGCTGCTACAAGCTGCTGAGGCTTCTCAAAAAGCTCTAAAGAAAAGAGAACCACATCAAGGTTTCAAAGCTGTAAATTGTTTCAGAGACAGCAGAATCAGGACAAAAGAGGCTGGTTCAAATATAAGTGGTTGCTGAAAAATTAACTTTTTTCCAAGTGCAGGAAAAGGGACTTATAGATCTGTAAGTCCCTACTGGCTTCTCTTGTGTGCAGGGAGACTCCATAGTTTCTTAACACCTGAATCAGGAAACTGTAGTTCAGGGAGTGGAGAGCCTCTCATCCTCCAATGTTGTGGTCTCCCAACTCTCAAGAACTGCAACTAGAATGTTCACTTGTCATCCAATATCAATATACCTAGTTTCCTTAGTCCTTTAAAAAATACTTCATGCAAACAGTAGTATAGTATGAACAACAGTACTAAAATTACTTATTTTATAATCAGGCAGGCAGAACAAAACTAATTTATGCCAGGAATGATCCTGGTTTTGCACAACTGATTGACTAAAATAGGTTATTTTGTTGGAAAAGCCAGCTATATCTTCACTTGGCCAAGAACTCCTTACGGCTGTTTTAATATTCTAGTTTTGAGAGGGCAACATTAGCAATGGAATATTTGCCAACATTTCAATGATAGAAAGAGGCAGTGGGGATGAAAAACAGTTAAATAGGGATGGCCCTAAACTATGTTCTATTTTGTTACATAATCTATTCAAAATATAATCCGTAAGTTCATAAGTTTATACTGAATAACAAAAAACAAACATAAAAGAACCACTGACCCAGTTGATACTTCATATTTATTTACAGCAGCACCATCACTCATAGTAAAACTTAATTTGTAATTGAGAATTGAGATATGGCATGAGCGTGAACTGATAAAGTAAAAAATTATATTGGGATTGTGCAAACCTCTAAAATGAGCAAAAACAGGCCCTCCTATATTGTTCATGATCATACAGAGATTTAAATTTTCAATTGCAAAACGAATGTTATCAGAATTTAAAGAAAAACCTTTCCCAGGTTATTTTCCATTAAAATATACTAATTCCAAAGATTTTAGAAACCTGGTTTTATTTCTACATAAAACACAAATTTGTATCAATAATGAAACAGATAATCAATAGCTCTTTTAACGTAACAGCCCTCCTTTCTCATAGTAACATATAGAAAATGAGAGTTAACATATAATCCCAATTCTTTCTTCCTCCAGACATCTCACTGAAAATATATTTAAAGGGTTTTATTACGATCTCTTGAAAGTTTGTATATCACTTAGCTAACAATTAAAAATTAGTCATAAAATATTGTAGTTACAGAAAAGGCAATTACAGAATTATATAATTTAAAAGGGAGTACAGGAAGCATTTGTTAAAATCACACCCCACTAAAGTATGAATAACTGAGTACTTATTGTCCAATTGTTGATCGCCGTTGCAATAGAAAGTTACACCTTTCAAAAGTATTATATAGGTGTCTCTTGTTAAGAGAGCTTTGTTGCTATCCATCAGATAATGAGAAAAAGAGAAAGCAATGGAGAAAAATGACATAACTCAGTTACTCGTCCATTCTGCCCCCTTATGCAAGCCTATGCCTACTTAGGGTCAGTTCAGATGGCACAAATGCCTCACACTGCATTGTAATTCACTCTGTTTGGCCAATCCTTGAGTTAGGGTTGCCCTATCAGACTATTCATTCACATATCCCATTATTGCTGAAACTGATTGGCAGTACTACCCCTTCAGGAGTTAAGGAATGACTCTTTCCTCTCTAACTGGAGATTTGGGGGCTGAATCAGAGACTGCCTGACTGCTAAGCATACATGGGCTCCACCACCACTGA